CAGCAAGCCCAGGAGGAAACGTTCAGTAAGCCCAAATCACACCCCAGTTATACCCCTTTGGGAGTGGCCCAAACTGATTGACCTTAATTTCTCAGCCTCTGGCTTGCAATTAGGGCAAGTCTTTTCCTCTTAACACACGCAAACACATGGTAGTTTGTTTTTTTTTTGTCGTGTCAGGAGCGACTTGAGAAACTGCAAGTTGCTTCTGGTGTGAGAGAATTGGCTGTCTGCAAGGATGTTGCCCAGGGGACTCCCGGATGATTTGATGTTTTTATCATCCTTGTGGGAGGCTGCTCTCATGAGGAGCTGGAGTTGATAGAGGGAGCTCATCCGCCTCTCCCCGGATTTGAACCTGCGACCTGTCCGTCTTCAGTCCTGCCAGCACAGGGGTTTAACCCACTGTGCCACCAGGGGCTCACACGGTAGTGATTCCACAGGAACATAACCATGTACCTTAATAGGGTTTTCTTGGTAATCTTGTTCAGAGAGGTTTGCCACTCCTCCAAGACAAAGAAAGTGTAATGTATCGTATCTGAACGGGCATTCAAACTCTGTTCTCCCAAAGTCTAAGGGCTTGTATACAGAGACCACAAAATCTAGAACTGCTCCAGATGCTGCCTTGGTGTGTGTACCATTCCACTCCTAAACTGTGGCATTGTCAGGACAATTCAGTTGGGCTGAGTCCAGTTCAGCCTTGCAGGACAGTCACTCTTACCCTTGTGAATATTTGTCACTACAGTGGTGTCCATGAAGCTCCAGAGAGCTCATGGCCATCATGGGCACTTTTGCAGATATCAGGAAAGTCATCTGTATTCCTTGGAGAAGGGAGGGAGGAAAGGAGGAAATGACTTCCCCCTCTTCTGTTCAGGTTGCACAGGCCTTTGGTGCAATTCCCAGGAGCCCTCTAGAGCTCTGTGACCACCACTGTAGTGACAAACACCAATAAAGATAAGTGCCAGCCCCTTAGCAGGATGGTGACACTGGTTCATGTGAATGGAAATTATCCATGCAGCTACCCCCCCCCCCCCCCCCCCCCCCCCCCCCCCCGCCCACCCTACAAAGCAGCATGAAATGCCAGTGAAAATCCTAACTCATCCATTCTACCATATAGGAAAAAAGAACAAATAACAAAAAATTCTATAAAATAATCCATAGCCACTCCATCCTCAACAAGTATGTTTCACAATAAAAGATAGAACTTTAGATACTTAATACATATTTTCCAGAAACAATTAAGAAAAGTAATTTGCCGAAACAATTCAACCGTTATAATGCCCAGTTATACTATCCAAGATAGAAGAGGGACTATTCCTATTCAGCAATTCTCCATCCTCCTCTTTCTTCAGTATCTTCCCAAGTTTTCCTTCCATTTCTCAGGATGTACTTTCTGAAAGACAAAAGGGAAAAATCAAGACACCAATTGAAAGAAGAGCAATGCACACTCACAAAATACAACACAATTTTGTTGCAGTAAAACCAAAAGTAGTCAAAGGTAAGGCAGCCTATCTCGGCAAGGGTTATTTTCATATGTATCTCTCTGTTAGTTGAGGAACTCATTGATACAGACACTGCTGTTCATATTAGGTTGCAATGACTTCCACTTCAGCACCATATTCTTCCCATCCCTAGTTATATGGTTTGCATCACACCTACATCAGGTTACCATGCCAAGAGTAAATGGTGGTTGCCTCAACCATTCTTATCTACCATCTGGAGAAGTACTAACCAGCTCATGTACATCTACTGAAAGATATTTCTAAAAATCACATATTCCAAAAAATTGAAAATCCTGTATCAATTTGCACTTGTAAAAATACTTGATGTTGAAATTGAATACACATTAATGTGCACATATGATTAATTATCTGGATCTATATTTTGACCCCATTTGGATCGAGTGGGTAATATAATTAACACAACAATGAAGTCATCCTTAAGTCCAGTGAAAAAACAACATAATTTGATTGTCAAAATAGTTATATTCCTTCATTAAACTAAACAATAATAAACAATAATAAAACTTTATTAATAGACCATCCTATCTCCCCGAGAGGACTCAGGGCGGTTTCCAATATGTATGGCAAACATTCAATGTATTATGTTGTGAGCTGTTTTGGGTCCCATTAGGGAGAAAAGTGAGACATAAATAAAGATATTATTATTATTATTATTATTATTATTATTATTATTATTATTTGTACCCGCAATTTCTTTTCAAAAGTGGACATACGTTTCTGCAACTGTGAAAAAAGCCAAACCTTTTTATTTTCTAGTTTGAACCAAAAATGTGAAAATGTACAGTTATTTATATTACAAGATAGCCCATGTTTTTATGAACCGTGTTTATTTTTTATTCAGACAATTTTTGAATCTTTTGCTGTTGTTCATTTACCTTCTCATTTAACCCCTTTCAGAGGTACCTCATTCACTCACGTTGTTAGCAATGTTCATGCTATTGTTGCATGGAGAAGAATTCTTAAGTTATTAAGCTAAACCTACATTTATTTCTGAACGAACTATCAATTTAAACAAGATGTAGGCTGAAATAGATGAAATCCCAGTTTCACTGAAATCTGTGATATTAGATTTAAAAAGACACTTCTAGACATTTGACCGAAAAGATCTAAAAATGGAATACACAATATCATACACAAGGTGGCAGTCATGGAAAGTCTTCCAAGGAACTTTCTTTTGAATGCAACTTACTGGTAGTTAAACTTCTCCACTAAAACTCAGTATTCTGGACATATTGCCAGGTACAAGCAAGTAAAAAAGAATAAGTTTATTAATCTAGATCAGTGGCTCTCAACCATCCTAATGCTGTGACCCCTTAATACAGTTCCACATGTTGTGGAAATAAAATAAAATTATTTTCGTTGCTATTTTATAACTGTAATTTTGCTACTGTTATGAATTATAATGTAAATATCAGATATGTAGGATATATTTTCATTCACTGGACCACATTTGGCACAAATACTCCATCAACAAAGGAACTGAACCAAACTTGGCACACAGAACTCCCATGACCAAAAGAAAGTACTGGAAGGGTTTGGTGGGCATTGGCCTTGAGTTTTAGTTCACCTACATCCAGAGAGCACTGTGGACTCAAAACAATGATGGCTCTGGACCAAACTTGGTACAAATACACAATATACCCAAATATGAACACTGGTGGAGTTTGGGGGAAAAAGACCTTGACATTTGGGAGTTGTAGTTTCTAGGTTTTATAGTTCACCTACAATCAAAGAGCATCCTGAATCCCACGAACAATGGAATTGGGCCAAACTTCCCACACGGAACCACTATGACCAAAAGAAAATATTGTGTGTTTGGCGACTCCTCTAACACCCCCTCGCGACCCCCCCCCCCGGGGGTCCCGACCCTCAGATTGAGAAACACTGATCTAGATGAACTACCTATATAATTTCAAATCCTGCTCTTGGATTCAATCATTTTTGTAGCCCAAAACAACTGGCAATAGAGAAACTGAAAGGAAATATGTGCCGCGTGTTATAAATGCAAAAAATATTACAACTATGGTAGCAGTGCAAAGGAATGCTCTATGTAATACTTTTTTCTGATAAAATTTTGTTCATTATAGGAAATCAATAGTTGCTATTGTAACTTTTAAAAATAATTGTTGACATTGTTTAACTAGTTAAATTAAAAAAAAGTTAAGTGTTTTGAAAACATTGCATGAATTCAGTTACAGATTTATTTTATACCCAGAATCTAAAAGGATTACTTTTTGCACAAAAATAAAATTGTCTGGCTGAATAGATAGTATGTGAATTGTAATAATAGTTGATCTGTAATGATTTCTATCTCTATTTTACTTGCCTTTTATCATTTAATAAAATAAACATGTTGATCAGTTTTGGTTGGCTGAAAACATGACAAAAGCTGCTTTCATGTCTGAGCATGAAAGTTACAGAAAATGAACACATCAAGCTACTCTGGGACTTCCGGATTCAGACAGACAAGAGTTTTGGAGCACAATACTCCTGATCTCACGATCATGTTAAAAAACAAAGTATGGATCATAGATGTCACAATCCCAGGTGACAGCAGGATTGAAGAGAAACAACTGGAAAAGATGACACGATATGAGGATTTAAAGATTGAACTGCAAAGACTCAGGCACAAGCCAGTCAAGGTGGTCCCAGTGGTAATTGGCACACTGGGCGCAGTGCCTAAAGACCTTGGCCTGCACGTAAACACAATCAGCGCTGACAAGATTACCATCTGCCAGCTGCAAAAGGCCACCTCACAGGGATCTGTATTATTTGCCGATACATCACACAGTCCTAGACACTTGGGAAGTGTCCGACGTGTGATCCAATACAACAGCCAGCAGAGTGTCTTCTGTGAGCTCATCTTGTTGTGTTTCCAATAATAATAATAATAATAATAATAATAATAATAAGCATCGACAAAATCATGATCTGTCAACTGCAAAAGACCACCTTACTTGGATCGGCGCGCATCATTTGAAAATACATCACACAGTCCTGGACACTTGGGAAGAGTTTTTACTTGTGATTTTGTGATACGAAATCCAACATATAGATCTCGTTTGCTATGACATACTGTGCTTTTGTGTCAATAATAATAAGAAGAAGAAATCTTTATTTATATCCCACTTTTCTCCCTAACGGGAACCAAAGCAGCTCACAACATAATACAATACAAATCAAAGCACATTTAACATAAAATACAAGACAAAAATCACTCAAAGCATAATAACGTCCAGGGGGAAAAAGATATAAATAAAGCATGAAAACCATTTAAAACCAATTACAATGATTGTGGAGACCCATCAATTAAAAAGTGTATTTCGCTAAACTCAGTCATCAGCCAGCAAGAAAATTAAGAGAAGTCCAAAACACCTGGAGGGAGGGAGGGTGTTTTGGAAGTTTGCCCATGTGGTCCTGCCTCAAAAGGAGGATGGATGTGCCTCAACAGTGCAGAAGTGGCTCCAGGGAGCTCCGCTTGAGCCGCCCTGCTCCAAGCTATGGCCTGCCTTCGGGGCTGGAAGGAGGCCAGGCAGGAAGCCTGGGGAAGAAGACGCCTTCCAGCCCCGCCTGCCTGCCCGCCCGCCTTCTCCGGCAGAAAGAGCCCGCTGCCAGGCACCATCGCCATGCGGGCCGGCTGCAACAGTGAGTATAGCAAAGAGGGGAGAGACATCCATCCAAAGAGCCCTGGGCTCCATGCAGTGGGAGAGGAATGCCGCCCAGATGTAGCTGGGTTGTGGTTGGGATTGCTCAGCAAGGAGGCGCCGGCGCTTGGCTCTTTTCTCCTCTGCCTCTGAGCGCGTGCAGAGTGCTTCCCTCTCTTCCCCTTTCTCTCTCGCTCTCTCTTTCAGCCCGGGCTCTAGAAAGCCTTGCCTGCCCGGGTTCCTTTTCGAGCCCCGAACAGGTTGTGGGGGAACTTCCTCCCCGGGCTGGTAGGGCAGGTGTTTGCGTATGCAACCTTTCCTTCCTTCTTCCTTTCCTTCCTTCCATCCTTCTTCCCGGCACTGGGGGGCCTCCTCGCCACCCACTTTCGGTTTCTGCTCAGGGAGGACCCTTCCACACAGCCATATAACCCAGAATATCAAAGGCAGACAACCCACAAGATCTGCTCTGAACTGAGTTCTCATATTACCTGGCAGTAAAGGTAAAGGTGAAGGGTTTCCCCTTACATTAAGTCCAGTCGTGCCCCACTCTGGGGGGTTGGTGCTCATCTCCATTTCTAAGCCAAAGAGCTGGCATTGTCCTTGGACACCTCCATGGTCATGTGGCTGGCATGACTGCATGAAGCACCCTTACATTCCTGCTGGAGCGCTACTCACATTTGCATGTTTTCGAACTGCTAGGTTGGCAAAAGCTGGGGCTGACAGTGGAAGCGCACACAGCTCCCCGGATTCGAACCTGTGACCTTTCAGTCAACAAGTTTACCAGCTCAGCGGTTTAACCCACTACGCCACCCACTGACAATGGGGACTCATATAATCAGGTTTTAAGCAGAAAAGCTGGGATCAAATCCTGGGATATAGGGCCTGTCTGTATAAAATCCCACATTATCTGCTGTGAGCTGGGATATATGGCAGTGTGGACACAGATGACCCAGTTCAAAGCAGATATTGTGGGATTTCCTGCCTTGATATTCTGGGATATAGGGCTGTGTGGAAGGGGCCTGTGTTATATGGCAGTGTGGACTCAAGACAACCCAGGGCCCTTCCACACAGCCGTATACCACAGAACTGGCCCATTGCCAGGATTTTGATTTGGGGGGGGGGGATGAGTTTGACCTAGCAAACCTTTTGTATCATTGTCCCAATACCCCCATGCATATGGGATATATTGAGCGTGGTGATCAGATCATGATATGAATAAACATAACAGTTTAAATAATGTACTAGCAAGGCCTTCTCGCGGACCACCATGAGAATTTGGGGGGGGGGGGGCTGAAGCCCCTCAACACCCCTCCTCCCCACTACATGCCTGTACCAGAATATCAAGGCAGAAAATCTCACAATATCTGCTTTGAACTGGGTTATCTAAGTCCACATTTCGATAATGTGGGATTTTCTGCCCTGATATTCTGGGATATAGGGCTGTGTGGAAGGGCCCTGAGTCCACACTGCCATATAATACTTGAGTCTATGCACCTGTTAATGCGACGTCCCTCCTTCCCTCCAGCCTTCCACCTTGTCTAGCATTGCTGTATTTTCTAGTGATAATAATAATAAATCTTTGTTTATATACCTATTGCTAACCAAAGCAGGGCAGTCTTGGACCCCTTCCACACAGCTGAATAAAATCCCACATTTTCTGCTTTGAACTGGGATATATGGCAGCGTGGACTCAGATATCGTAGGGCACTTCCACACAGTCATATAACCCAGAATATCAAGGCAGAAAATCCCACAATATCTGCTTTGAACAGAGTTATTTGAGTCCACACTGCCATATGTTACAGTTCAATGCAGATAATGTGGGATTTTATTCAGCTGTGTGGAAGGAGCCCCGGTTCAAAGCAGATATTGTGGATTATCTGCCTTGATATTCTGGGTGATATGGCTGTGTGGAAGGGCCCTAAGGCTGGATCTACATCCCAGGACCTGATCCCAGATTATCTGCTTTGAACTGGATTATATGAGTCTACACTGCCAGATAAGCAGATAATCTGGGATCAGATCCTGGTATATAGGGCCCTTCCACACAGCCATATAACCCGGATTATCGAGGCAGAAAATCCCACAATATCTGCTTTGCACTGGGTTATCTGAGTCCACACTGCCATATATTCCAGTTCAAAGTAGAAAATGTGGAATTTTATCCAGCGGCGTACAAGGGGCCTGAGTTTAGTAATCTTGGCTTCTAGGAAGAGTTTAGGTTTGATTTGCACAAATGTTAGTTAATTTGTCATTTTAACAGACTGTACATTCAAGGGGCCCTTCCACACACCCCTATATCCCAGAATATCAAGGCAGAAAAGCCCACGTTATTGGAGTGTGAATTCAGATAACTCAGTTCAAAGCAGATATTGTTTGGATTTTCTCCCTTGCTATTCTGGCCTATAGGGCTGTGTGGAAGGGCCCAAGTTGTGTCTAATAAACTAGTTTCTTTGCAACAGCTCCCCTGGCTACCAGTTTGTTTCTGAGCACATTCAAAGTCATGGTTGTGACTTATGAAGCGCTACGTGGCTCAGATCCAGGCAGCTGATTTCTCCCTATCTGGACTCTGGAACTTCCTTCCCAGGCCAGAATGACCTTCGCCTGTAGTCTTTCTGTTAGCAGGCAAAAGCCTTTTTATCCAGGCAGAGTTTTAAAGAAGGGGAATGGGAGTCCTGCCTTAGGCTAATATTTATTTATTTTATCAGAAGCAAACCAAGGGTGCAGTTGTAATTTATTAAAAAAAACACAAAATTTTAAAATTTGGCATTATCTTAAATGTCCTTTTGAGAGAGACGTGATTTAGAAAATGAATTCCCAATCATTACATGTCCCAAAAGCCCTGTCTATAGAGAAAAACCTTGCTTGCTAGAAACTGCTGATGCATAGAAAAGGTTAGCAAAGAGAAAGAATGATTGATCTCTGTGTTCTTTGTTCAGTAAAAGACGCAAGCAGTAAGTCACTCCTTCACTCCTTTGATTTTCCCAGCCGTAGAAGAAATGCAACTTGCACATAGATAAGCCGACCTGGCGTTCAACAACTCAGGGTCAGAGATTTCAACAGAACCATTGTTATAGGCTTTTGCTGTCAGTAACATAGAAGAACCAATAAGATTCCTAATTGTCTGACATAACCAATGAGATGATTGATTTCTATGTACCAATCAAACTGTTTTAATGARAGTMATAAATAATCAATGCAACCAACTTTAGGTTGGACAAACCCCTTTATTGCATTYCYATATGCATGTTYGTCACTATTGCTTCAGCTGYGCAATAAATAGCATTTTGCAGTTTTAAAGATTCAACTTTCGTGGTGTCCTTCCTCGCCCTCCTTGGGAAGGGGCAATCTGCTCTTGGATTTTGGATTTTGGATTTGTGGATTATCTTRATCGTTTTTGCCCCTACACTTTGACCAGTAGCTGGCCACTTGGAGTGTCTCTGGTGTTGCTGCAAGAAGGTCCTCCATTGTGCATGTGGCAGGGCTCAGGTTGCATTGCAGTAGATGGTCTGTGGTTTGCTCTTCTCCATACACRCATATTGTGGACTCCACTTTGTACCCCTATTTCTTAAGGTTGGCTCTGTATCTCGTGGTATTTTAATTGTATTTTGCCTTGGCTTGGGCCCCATATAAGCTGTCCCGAGTCCCTTCGGGAAGATGGAGGCGGGGTGGAAAAATAAAGTTGTTGTTGTTGTTGTTGTCTTCTTCTTCTTCTTCTTCTTCTTCTTCTTCTTCTTCTTCTTCTTCTTCTATGGTGTCTTCTTTCTTGGAAGGTGGAGTGCATGTGGAGAGTTTACAGTCCCTCATTTTGTTTTCCATATTTGTTGCAGATTTTACTTAGAATTTGAGTGGATCCTGTCTCAGTAGCTTGAAATAGCTCTATTGGCTATATTCCTTTGAGTACACCTTCCACTTTACTTTCTAAAATTGTAGGTTTGTTTTGAAATTGTTTTTCCTTTAATGGATCTGCCATTCTTTTGTATTTCTTAAATAGTTTTAAATTGTATTCTTTTCTATTGTCTTTTTATTACTGGGTTGCTGTGAGTTTTTGGGGCTGTATGGCCATGTTCCAGAAGCGTTCTCTTCTGACGTTTCACCCACATCTGTTTCTTCTTGATCATGTAGTGTGTTCTCCTGCTGGTCATATAACATGTCTGCTCTTGGCTACTACTTTTGATTTTTCAGATCTTGTGGAACAGGTTCCTCGTTCTATTTCTTGGTGTCATCTTCTGTTTCTCTGCATTGTTTATTCTAGCAGTTATTTGTCAATGTACACAGGTGGCTGAACAGTGGCATTCACGGTTCTGACCTTATTTCAGTTCCTTTTTACATTTGCTTCTTATTTGTCCTTACATGCTTTAACTGATTGAAGTTTATCTTTCTTTTTGCATTCCTCTTGATAGTGTCCCTGGCATCAATCTAGGATTAGTCTGGCTTTCTGTCATTTAGGCTTCATAGTACAAATCTTTTTTATTGTTTTAGCATTATTTTTACATTGTACAGGGTGTCATCCTTGCATTTTGGGATGGTGCTTGATTTAAATCTTATTTATTTATTTATTTACGACATTTATAGCCTGCCTTTCTCAGTAGTACTTGAATGGTACTGGAAAAACTGATATGCCTTAATCCTGGTTTATGTATTATCTATTCTAAACACATGGATAACTGAGTGATTCATATTTTACAGGATTTGTGGTAGCCTTATTCAGAAGTTCAGACTAGTTGCTTTACCACAAAACATTAAGCAAGTAAAATTGAGTGGTGCCACCCTCCTCACTTCTTTGTGCTTTTAGCTGCCTGGGAAAACATGCTTTAAATGTATTATAAATGCTGCCATATATCCATTTACCTTTTAACACATAAAGTATTTTTAGAGCAAATTAAGGGATGCTTGTGGTACTTTTATTTTTTTAATGAAAATAAATTTGATTAACCTGACCAAAAGCTTGCATACAGCCACACCAGTTTCTGTCATCCAATAAACAAATGATTTTCAATCAACTTTCCATTGCCTCCCTTAGTGTCATCTATTGGGTGACATATTTTCCGGGGAATGTGGGTGTTAACCTAAAGGTTTTCCATTTATCCTTGTATCCCTTTGTAGATTTTCTCATGTTTCTTTTTCAGATTTTATGAAGTTGGGAGGATTTATCATTGCATCTTTATGTGCCTGGTACTTGGGGTCCCTTTTGGCATATATGATACCTGAAGACTCAATAATATCAACTTATGACAATCTTCAGAACCTTGCCAAAAAACCAAAAATTGTGGGTATGTAAGTGTATTCTACTGTAGATTTTTACAGTGACACTCCCATTTCATTTTTGTTTTTGTTAGTTGACTGCTTTATGATGTCCTACTTTAACTAATAGCCTAGTTGTTTTGTGAAAGAGATTTTTTTTCACTGTAAGGGCAGCATCCTACTTCTGCTATTTGAAAGATATGGTCACCAGTAACTCGCCTTTTCTTCCTGCATCTCCTGTTAATGTTTAACTAAAGCAGCCATATAATGTGACACATATGGAGTTTTATTCCACCCCTGCTCTTCTTGTAGCAGGGAATAATAATAATAATAATAATAATAATAATAATAATAATAATAATAATAATTGTGATGACATCATTGAATCAAATGTATGACACAAAATGGTACTCCGGTGACAAGAAAGAGATGCTGTTTGGTAGCAGTTTAAGACCCCTTCCACACAGCTGTTTAAAATCCACATTGAGCTGGATTATCTGGCAATGTGGACTCAGATATTCTAATTGAAATGAGATATTGTGGATTATCTGCCTTGATATTCCGGGTTTTATGGCTGTGTGAAAGGGCCTTAAGTCAGTATATACTGCATTTTTACCTTTGATAAAAACTTTGTGCTGGCAGGACTGGTCGACTAACAGGTTGCCAGTTCAAATCCGAGAAGTGGGGTAAGCTCCCGTATGTCGAGCTTTAGCTTCTCATGCAGGGACATGAGAGAAGCCTCCCACAGGCTGGTAAAACATCAATCATTCAGGCGTCCCCTGGGTGACATCCTTTCAGACAACCCATTCTCTCACTCCAGAAGCAACTTGCAGTTTCTCAAGTGGCTTCTGACATGAAAACCCCCCCTCTAATATTACTCTGATGCGAAGTTCTTTTAATAAAGAAACATCTGCTCTACTTAGGCAATTAAGTCTTTAACACAGCAGTGTAAATATCAGTTGCCATAGAAATAGTTCCATATGTGCATTATAGGGATCATGGTCTAAAGATTATAAGGGAACGTAGGGATTTCTTTATCTTTTCACATATTGTCTCAGTAGTATTTTTTAAGTATCCCACCCATCTAAAATTTATTCAGCATTGCAACACTTGAAATTTAAAGCAGTTTGAAAATTTAAAAAGGAGCAACTTTAAACTTATCGTGGTCCTAATTACGTCTATTGTATAGATGGGAGCTGAAGGTCGAAGTGAGTCAGTTTGGACCTCATTCCAAGTTACAGCTTCAAAAGCTTATTTACTGTTTGACATGATATCCGTTTTGATAAAACCATGTCTTGTGACTAGCTGTGTGTATACAAGTGTGGAGGATAGGTGAAGAAGAACTGAAGGCAACTGATCTACACAATTACAGTTTGTAGTGCCAAATGAACAAAACTGAATTATTGAGAAAGTTCTCAAAGATATCAATACATCTAGTGATCTTCCTGCACAGGTTGGTTGAAACAGAGAATTTTGGCCCATGTGTCGTGCGGTATCTTCAAAAAGATTATTCAAATGCACACTTTGTGGCTCAAAACTGAAAGGGCATCTGGAATGATGATCAAGATGGGAACTGTGACTTGCATGTGTAATTTTACCCCTAATAATCCCAAGGAGTGGGAAAATATGACAGTGTAATAAGTAAAGAAGATGGTGGGTTGTGTAGTCCCTAATGTCTTGATATCTGTTGATACCATCACTTGCAAATAAAAAACTGAATTACTAATAATGTAAGACTTATTAAGGTTATATTTTAATCTTTCAATGGTCATAGCTTGATTTGACTAATGAGTGCTTTTGTGAGCTGCCCCAAGTCCCTTTGGGAAGATGGTGGTGGGATACAAATGAAGTTTTATTATATTATTTTTAAAGAATTAATCTATTATCTGTACTAGAATGGATAGTATCTCTTCCCACATGGAAAGTCATATTACTGAAGAAGAGAGGTGCATGGGAGCTTTCCACCTAAGCAAGAATCTACTTGTGTAGTAATCTTTCACACACACAAAAAACTTCTCTTCAGATGTGTTGCTGTGTGAGGAAAATTACAACAGAGAGACGTTAGGGATTTACTAGGATTTCCAAGCAGGCATGAATAATGTCTGGAAAAAAAATCGCATGACTTGAGTGATATAACTGTCTTGCTCAAAATTGACCTCTCCTAATACTAGGCACATGGGAAGGTAACTGGCTTTGGAAGAGCCTCAAAAATTAATCTTATTAGATGCAATTGGTTGGGATTCTGGGAGCTAATAATTTTCTGGCTTTGTTTCTTGGACCATCTCATTCTATTCCTTCGTCAGAATATTTACTGGAGTAGCAGGGTACATCAATGCAGCATAAAACATACTTTAGAACAGTGGTTCTCAACCTTGTTCCTCCAGGTGTTTTGGACTTCAGCTCCCATAATTCTTAACAGCTGGTAAGGTGGCTGGGATTTCTGGGAGTTGAAATCCAAAATAACTGGACGACCAAAGGTTGAGAACCATTGCTCTAGAATTTCTTCATAAGATTTAGTCAGGGTTTCCAGCACATTGGCAATATTGCCTAGAGTCAGTGAGGTATCTGTTAAACAAAAGGTGTTCATGTAAGCACAACTATTGGGACCTTTGCAATTATTATAAAATGAGTAATACAAGAGTATTATGGCAATAGTTTCTCTGTAGTTTAAATATAACATTGGGTCGGTAAATATATGTAATGAACAAGTTTTAACATCAATATAGGTAAATAATAAAATTAAGAGTGAAAATTTTAATGTCGGAGATTATATGGCTTAAAGTCCACAGGGACATCATGTGGCTCATTGTTTTCCTCAAACATATGAAATGGCCCTATACCCCATTTTAAAAATCCCGAATCAGGTATTTTCATCACAAAAGTGTGAGACATCATTTCTCGAGATCCCGGCAAATTATTGTAATAATTTCCTTCAATCTCCTCTCCCTGTGCCTTAAAATTGGCCAAGGATTCGCAAAATTGTAACTGGAAGAAAATTCCATTATTTTTTATTTTTAGCAGAAAATATTTTAATGCAGCCCACCTAGGTGACAATATTTGCCAGTGTACCACCTGCAACTCCCCTTTTAAAGTATAGTTTTAATCCTATTTTAACGTTAACCTTTTATGTTTTAGCTGTATTTTCTTTAAATTGTAAGCTGCATTGAGTTCCAAAGGCAGAATAGAAATAAATATAACAATAAAAACAACGATTACTACTAATGATCTATTGCGAATGACATACCACTATGTTCAAATACTTCCTCTCTTTCACTGTAGTTCCAGCCCCTAAAAGACAGAAATGTGACCAATGGGCTCCATGTCCGCCTCGAAGCTATGCTTATCGCATACTCAGTGGTGGAGGCAGGGAGAAGTATGCAAAAATTTGTTTTGAAGATGAACTGTAAGTATAACTATCTACCAATCCCTTTGTAAGTTTCTATTAAAATTCAGTTCAATTTATCACATCAGATCTCCGATTGAGTCTAGTTAGATTGTAGCAAAGTAACAAGGATCATGTTGTATGAGACAAAAAGCTGATCTAGTCCAGCTTTCTGATCATATCATTGTCAACTAATTGCCTTTGGAAATTGACAGCAACAGAATACAATAGCATACTCCCACTACTATTCCTCATTAACTGACATGAAGAAAATAACACATTTCTTCAAGACAACCTGATAGTTCTTACTTGCTCCTTGAGAAGCTGGGCGTTTTAATAGATTTAGATAAGTAAACGGCTGGAAACTTAGTACTGGAGAAAAGAGTTGCTTTTTATCAGAACATAGTTAAATATTGGAAATCATATCCCAGAATACAATAGCTAACTAGTCCATTTTCTGTCCTGGTAGAGGATTTAGGCAACTGTGTTTATATTATATTATATTATATTATATTATATTATATTATATTATATTATATTATATTATATTATATTATATTAGCTGTACCAGGCCACGCATTGCTGTGGCCCAGTGAAAGGATAGAGAAAGAGGAGGTGTCAGATATATGTGATTTCACAATGCTTTTAGGTAGGTAATATTTGTGGTGGTTACATTCTCTGTGCAGATATGGAGATTGTGTTGTTTGGTGACTCTGGAACACGGAACATATTACTGCCTATGTAATAAGCTATCCGTGTCCTGATGTAAACCATAGATTTCTAAAGATTGTCTATGAGTGTAAACATAGATAGTTGGATTGATGGATGGATCTCTTTCTTTGTCTGCCCTCCTCTTGGGGAGAATAACAGGAGTGTGGCTTCCTCGTTGGAAGAGGCCATGGGGCCCTCCCAGGGAGCGACCACAGTGCCTTCTCCTCCCTATTTTTGAAAATATGGCTACCAGTATTAAGCAACTCTAAAATCAGGATATTATATTATCGCTGCATGGTATGTTTAACTTTCTCATTTCCTGGTCTCCATTGTTAAAGCAGCTTTGGAAAAAAATTGGTGAAATATGTCTAACTGGATATTTTCAGAATTAAAACAGACAGTGGGCTCTCCAGATTACTCTAAATCAGGGATCCTCAAACTTTTAAAGCAGAGGGCCAGTTCATGGTCCCTCAGACTGTTGGGAACCAAAGTATAGTTTAAAAAAAACCATGAATTACTGCACACTGAACATATCTTATTTGTACTAAAAATAAAACAATGAACAAACAATATTTAAAATGAAGAACAATTTTTACCAACATAAATTTATCAGTATTTCAGTGGGAAGTATGGGCCTGCTTTTGGCTGATGAGATAGTCAAGTTAATTAAGATCATTGTTGTCATGTGCTTTAAGACTGAGGGCAACTCAAAGTCTAAAGTTTAGGGTGAAGGCCAGGTAAATAACCTTGGAGGGCCACATCCAGCCTGCCAGTCTTAGTTTGGCAACTCCTGTTCTAAATAATTTATATTTCCTTATTTCTTTTGATCTTTCCAGGGGTTGTTGCCTTAATATCAATTTGTTGCATTCTTTTTTTTAACCGTTTGTAGTAGGTTTCTGGATCTGTAAGTTTTTCCTCTGTGTATGTGTACATGATATTACTTTTAGGGTCATGGAGCCATAGTTAAAAGTGCCATTTTTGATGTACTAAGAGAAATACATAAATAAAAATTTAGAATGGAATGAATAGTATTTCCTTTTTTGTTCTGCTATCCCAGCATTTTAAAAGAAACCTACCTGGGTAAAGTTGGGCTATAAAATACTGCATCTGGACCCAGGAATTGCCAGAAAATAATAATGTCCTTTGGAATATTTTTTAATCTGAGCATGACAGCAACAATACTGAATTTTCCATACACCATTGCCCTGTCTAGAGGAGCCCAGTATTGCACAGGTAGATTTGTTGTCTGGCTTTGCATGAAGTTGCTCCATAGCCATATAATTTTTAGAAGTATCACACAACTAATGCAACTTTAGCAATGGTATAGAATGCAGTGATCTCAAGAAAACACAAGATGGGGTTGGGGTACCCTTGGTTTCCTATGGACCACCCTCTTAAACATAGTTAAGAAATCAGATGGGTTATGTTTGCACAAGCTGACAAGATAACTTCCCTTTTCGTGTTTGTGTTGCGATTTTGATTGTACTGTTGCATTAAGTAGATTTCCTGCTGGAAGTTATTGTTTCAATTCTTTTTCTTTTTCCCAACTCCATTCTTCTAGAATTTTGCTTTATTTCAGAATTATGTATCACAGGAAATAACTTCATGGGAAAAGCCTATGTGACATACTTTCAAAATTAATGCTTGATATTTCATTTTCAGGCTCATAAGCGAAGAAAAAGGGAATGTTGGAAGAGGAATAAATATTGCAGTTGTAGACTGTGAGTAAAAGGACATAATCTGATGGGTTATAGCTAGCATCACACAACCAGAGATCTCCTTGCATAACAAGTTTTTTCCCCTTCCTTTGGAGCACATTTGGTATGCAAGAAAGGCTATAAAAATGCCCGCCCTTTTATACAGTAGTGTCTTGCTTATCCGACCTTTGCTTATCTGATGTTTTGTCTTATCCGACACTCTTATTTGACATTCCCTTTTCCTCCAGCATTTCCCTTTCGATTAAAGAAGTGCTCCCCAACTCTCCATTCCCAATAAGTCAAAAAGGCAAGACAAGAAGGAGCAGGAGGGAGGAAAGGGGGAAAAGAGGCAGGACCGGAAGCGGAAGTGTCCTCCCTTCTTCCCTCTGTGATTTCCATGCTAGTCTTCCACATCCAGGCACTTCCTGCTGGGTTGTTCTATCCCCAAGGCATTGCCTTAACCCTTTTAGTTAGGCTTGGGCAGTTTCGTTCGTTAATTTCGTAATTCGTTATTAATTCGTATTTAAATTAGCTTACGATCCAATATTGAGCCATGCAGGACTACTATGAGGAGTAATTAAAAATCGAAACAATTTTTCCAATTTATTTCGTATTGTTTTGTAATTGTTTCGTAATTATTTCCGTATGTCTGGTGCAAGTTTTATAGTTGTTGTTTGGTTTATCAGTGATAAAAACTAAATTATCACACCAACAGTCAACAACAGAAGGAGAGGGAAGCTTCAGAAGTTCCCCCTGTCCCATTTGGAGGGTTTTTTAGCATATTGCGCAATCACGTCCGCCATTAACGAATCGATTCGTAATTTTACGAAATTTCGTATATTTCGAACTTTTTTAAAGGAAAATTTCGGAATTCTTTAAAAAAATGAAACGCAAGGGCCCCCTAAAAACGAAATGAGTTTAGAACCAAATTTTTCTGTGGTTACCCAAGCCTACTTTGAGTCCCTGCTGTTAGTATTCTAGGTGTCTAGCACCGCATCGGACATATAACAGTAGGAAACTCCATATTATCTGACATTTTCATTTATCCGACGCTCTTACGGCCCGTTTATGTCAGATAAGCAAGACTCTACTGTATTATCTGGGAGCTCTATCCATATCTTGTCTCTTCAAAGCACCAAGGAGATGTTTTGACAGATTTCCAACGTAGTTCCATTATATTGCTTTAAATAGTAAATTTAGCAATGTCTGTGTTTTTTATGAACCACATTTAGAATCTTTTGGGTCAAAGCAGGACAAAAATGTAATATGCAGTAATGTTACAGGTTAAATTTCCCTTATTTGGAAATATTAAATTCTCCCAAAACCACAACCTTGGGGAGGGGGGTGATTTTGGACTACCTGAATGTGTGTGTGTGTGTGTGTGTGTATATATATATATATATATATATATATATATATATATATATATATATATAATAATGAGATATCTAATCAGACACATTTGAGGCAGCAGCAGCACACCTGCCTGATAACTTCTTAGATCCTCAGTCTTTCAGATTCTTGCAAATGCAAGACTGAAGGTAGACTGAGGACCTGAGAAACAAATTATTTTTTTTAATTGGTAAATAATAGGAAAAAAATGTCTAATGGGTATACACTCATTTTTTTTTAAAAAAAAACTATTTTCTTTCTTTTAGATGGCACTGGAAAAGTTGTTGCTGCAAAATATTTTGACATGTGGCAAGGGGGTAAGAGTGTTAGATATAAGCATACAAGAATAGGATCTGCTATCAAACATTTTTATTTAAACAACAGCTACAACAGCTGTAGTGGTTGCAAATTATCATGGGTCAGGATCTGTCTTGACCAGAACCTTTCTGCAGCTATGTCTTAGTGATCATGGAACAGATTTTATAAAAAACAAAATTCTATAATTTCCCATCACCAAAGGTAATGCCAAAACAAGGTGTACAAATAATTTAAACCATGTGCCGTAATTTGGAAATAATTTCCATGAGTGGAACTCTGTTTTATGTAGACGAGGAGAACAACACAGTAGAGTTGAGATGTTGGAGGCATGGAGATAGCCCAGCAGATAGCCCTTAGGGCTTCTCAAAACATACTTAGGGGCTCCGTGCTTCCCTCCACTCCAAGTTCTCTCTCCTCTTTCCTGCTCCCCCTCCCCCCTCCTCCCCCTCCTCCCTTGTCACCAAAATCCCCCCCCCCCCCCGCCTTTGCTGCCAAAAGCCTTCCCCCCATTGCCACCCAGGTCACTTCACCTGTGCTTCCAAAATTCTTTTTCCTCCCACCATTCAATGCTAATCAAGGTGATTAATTGCAACATCCACACAGGCCTCCAACAGACAAGAGTCTTTCTCATACCCTGGACCTCCAACAGATATATAAACCCCCCTTGTCTAATTTCCAATATACCTCACAACCTCTGAGGATGCCTGAGGATGTGGGTGAAATGTCAGGAGAGAATGCTTCTGGAACATGGCCATACAGCTCGGAAAACTCACAGCAACCCACTGGTTAAAATAGTTCTTTGTTTAAAATATTGTATTGTATTGTTCTTTCTTTCTTTCTTTTTTGCACTGCAAACAAGATATGTACCATTTGAATAGGAAAATGTTCATTTTTTCCAGTTAGTTCACACAAATGTTCTCCATCCATCTGCCACTGGCCCAGCCTGTCTCAAATTTTTAAAACACAATGTGTCAAAAAGTTTGCCCATGTCTGATCTGTATACATTAGGGTGGGTCAAAAAAATTTGCCTCCTGTGTCATAAAAACATTATGAATGAACATATAATGCTTTGAGTCCCCCTGTTAGGGTAGAGAAAGGCGGGGTATAAATGTGGCAAATAAATAAATATAGCAGATGATGCAACAGATCATAGCCTGAACTCTCCTCTACACAAAACTACAATTCAACATAGTCTCCATCAATTTGTACACATTTGCACCATCGTTTAACCCAGACATAAAAAACCATTTTGAACAAAAATCAGGTTCTTGCTTCATGACCCTTGATTTTAAAACTGTTTTAATTTCATTCAAGTCATCGAATCTGAAACCACATAGGTTGTCTTTCAGAGGTCCAAACAGGTAAAAGTCAGAAGGGGCCAACTTTACAATCTTTACAGCTTTAAAATCAGGGGTCACGAAGCAAAACCCTGAATTTTTCCAAAATAGTTTTGATGCCTGGTTAAACGATGGCGCAAATGTGTACCAATTGATGGTAACTATGTTGAACAGTAGTTCTTTGTAGAGGACAGTTCAGGCTATGATTTGTAGCATTTTTTTCCTGTTATATATTCATGTTTTTAATGACACAGGAGGCAAAACTTTTTGACCCACCCACGTATAATATAATATATAATATAATATAAAAACATTTCTTGGGGCTCCATGAGAAATTTTTGCTTCAAAAAGTGCTCAGTGGCTGAAAAAGTTTGAGAACCCCTGAGATAGCCAATTTGCATAGATCTTAAAGAACTTTTTTTGCCAATAGAATTCTCTGGACCAATGGCTGATTTCATCAGAAAGGCCCCTTTGAGGTCACTGCTCCTGATGGTAACTCATGATGATGGAAGTAGCAGGTAAATATTTGTGCTTCCATATTGTATCAACACTACACCCTTACCCTGCTTCCATCCTGTAAAATCCTGGGATTTGAAGTGTGGCATAGATAGCTGCCAGGTTTCAGCTAAGTGTAGTGGTGAATCGTGGGGGGTTCACCACTGCCCTTAATATATTTTTAGACTGAATTGTATAAGAACAGTCCAAGTTAGCTCCTCACCCCTATATGTAAAAATACATCCAGTTCCTTGACTTTTGAACTATAATCTTGAATGCATTATCTATCCCACTTACATACAGACTATTACTATATTTGGTATAGTACTTAATATTCTCTGCTGGGGAACTCTAATACTGTAAGTCAGGAGAGTTCACCAGAGTTCTGCAGCAGAGAATTCAATGCTCAAACTATGAATCCTAAGATTCTGTAGGATGAAGAAGCCATAACAATTAAATTGTAAACTGCCGTAAATGTGAAATGTATTCATACTCCCATTCATAATACAACTAGTAGTTCAGCCTTGAAGACTTTGAGAAAGTTGTGAATATGATTAACTTTAGTGGCAAGCTTTGTCAAATTTGAAGATATTTTTTGTGTGGATATTAGTCATTTGAAGGCATGAACTTGTTTGCATGTTTTATTTATTTATGTATTTATTTATTTATTTACGATATTTCTTGAACCAAAAGATGACTCAAGGTGGCTTGGGAGAAACATTCTAGCCATCTGCTTCTTCAAAGCCAGCCCTTCAAACGTGTTTTGGGCTTCAAATCTCTGTATCAGTGGTTCTCAACTTGTGGGTCCCCAGGTGTTTTGGCCTACAACTCCCAGAAATCCCAGCAAATTTACCAGCTGTTAAGATTTCTGGGAGTTGAAGGCCAAAACATCTGAGGACCCACAGGTTGAGAACCACTGCTATGGATAATTTAGTCATAATAAATTTTATTTCTACCACTTTAAACTGGGATTGTAAACATGGGTATTAACCAAATATGTGAATAGATATAATATTCAAAGTTATTCTTTTGCTTACATATTTTGGTTATATTGCCCTTTGTACAATTTTAAAGTAAGATGCTAGACAAGAATATCTAATCTTTATTGGAATGTGTTCCCTTAAAATAGAAGCTTCTTTTATGATGACAAGTTTTGTATCCGTGTATTGTCGAAGGCTTTCATGGCCGGAATCACTGGGTTGTTGTACTTTTTTGGGCTATATGGCCATGTTCTAGAAGAATTCTCTCCTGACATTTCACCTGCATCTATAGCAGGCATCCTCAGAGGTTGTTAGGTTGTGACCTCACAACCTCTGAGGATGCCAAGCATAGATGCAGGCAAAACATCTGGAGAGAATGCTTTTAGAACCTGGCCATAAAGCCCAAAGAACCTACAACAACTCTTCTGCATACTTGTTCTCTGATGTGGAGAACTGCAGGTGGTTTAGTTGTAGATTTATATGTTCTAAGATACGAACATCATGATTAAAAGAAAGTATGCTTCATAATGGAGCCCCCGGTGGCGCAGTAGGATAAACTACTGAGCTGTTGTACTTGCTGACCAAAAGATGGGCAGCTCCCGCTGTTAGCCACAGCTTCTGTCAACCTAGCAGTTTGAAGATATGCAAATGGTAATAGATCAATAGGTACTGCTTCAGTGGAAAGGTAACAGCGCTCCATGCAGTCATGCCGGCCCCATGACTTGGAGGTGTCTATAGATAACGCCGCCTCTTCAACTTAGAAATGGAAATGAGCACCACCCCCCACAGTCGGACACGACTCAACTTAATGTCGGGGAAACCTTTATGCTTCATAATAAGCACATATTGTGCTTCACTGAGTTACCTGGATTATAGCCTTATGCAACGGATAGATATGATAAAGGCAGCAGAATTCTTCATTGAATGGCTTTATTTGTATACTCTAAAATGTGTGTGAGTGCCCACATGTATGTGAATGTTCATATAGCCCTTAGTGTACATTACATGTAGCCATTATGGCCAAAAATGTCATATATCCCTTTGCTAAGAGCAAGTTAGTTGTTATTTTTATATGCCTATTTGTGTGTATAAAAGCAGGGAACTATTAAAATACAGTAACATAACACAGTAGAAAACACAAACACCAATTAAATATATATAATCATTTCAGAGGGCATAACAGTTTAAAAGCACATATATTAAAAACAATCAATTCACTTTTAAGGAAAAAAAACCCTTCTAGATAGGTCTACCAGAAGAGATTGATTCTTAATGCTATTTAAAGACTGATGATGGGGGCACTTTTCAGAGCTCTTCCAGCAGGTTATTCCACCATTTGGGAGTAGCTAATGAGAGTCCTCTGGTTAACATTTGCTAGCCTGGTCCTGGCAAAAAAAGGAAGAAGAAGAAAGTGACAATATCAAAATAAATGAATCCTGATTTATGTAAATTTTGATTTTAAAAAATCTGGGCAATAGAAGGTATAAGGCTAATTTTTTCTTATCTCTCACACAGGTTAAAAGAGGATGGGAAAAAGGCAATTGCTGAACTCGGAAGTAAAGAAATACGAAATTTGAAATTTAGATCAAGTTGGGTCTTCATAGGAGGAAAAGGGTTTAAGCTACCAGAAAATATAGAAAAGGAAAAGGTAAAACTTTTAATTAAGAAACTCAAATTGGTATATAATATCATGATCACTTTCTGGCACTGGCTAGACGATCTCAAAATAGGTTGACCTCCACATTCTTGGCCCCATCGATGCACTGACCATTTAATGCAGTTGCTCATGTTCTTTATTACTTCTTAATTCAAATCCATACTGTTTTTGTTAATATGGTAAACAAGAAATTCATTTTCACAATTAGATTATTTTGAAACAATAGACCAAATTAATGTTTGTTGTATATGCCTTTAAACAGATCAACCATTCTGACATGAATAAGAACCGATACGATGGCTGGCCAGCGGAAATCCAGATAGAAGGCTGTATTCCGAAGAACATGACGAACTGAATTCTCAAATACTATCCACAAACTGCATTCTGAATTGTTCTCGTAAACAATTCACCATCAATTGCCAATGTTCACTATTTTACACTAGGCAAAATTTGTTTGAACAGCTGAGTTCACTGAGTTCTTGCAGCCAAATCTATTTATTTTGGCATACAACTGATTATAGGTATTTTCTTCTTCTACTAATGTGTTCTGCTGTGTCCTATGAAAAATCAGCTTGTTTTAAGTCCCAGGTTTTTTGCAGTCAGTAAAATGACATGTTTATATATTGGCATGTTGTTTTTAGTAACCAAAGATCAGATGGGCAGTGAAGCGTACAAAATAATCCCTTATTTATGTCTCCATTCACTACTTTTTACTTGAAACATTTGAAGGCCTAACCTATGGTAGTCATGAAACAAGTGCTTTCATGGTCCACAGTTTATACTTGAACCTTTTACCTATTTATTATTTTAAAAATACACTTGAAACAATAAACAGATTCTATTTTAAACTTAGCTCTGTGGTATTTTATAACCAAATTAAGCATTGGGAACAAAACATTGCTTTTGAAAAATCGAATTAGAACATACACGTTCTGGGTTGAGTGACTTACCATGGGTGAAATGAAAGTAAGTACTACATAGTCGGTTATGTTTATTATGTGTTGTTTATTTGTTCATATGGTTCCGACTCTTTGTGACCTCATGGACCAGCCCACGGCAGAGCTCCCTGTCAGCCGTCGCTACCCCCAGTTCCTTCAAGGTCAAGCCAGTCACTTCAAGGATACCATCCATCCATCCTGCCCTTGGTCAGGCCCTCTTCCTTTTCTCTTCCATTTTCCCCAGCATCATTGTCTTCTCCAAACTTTCCTGTCTTCTCATTATGTGGCCAAGGTACTTCATCTTTGCCTCTAATATCCTTTCCTGTGGCATTATTTCCTGGAGTATGGACTGGTTTAACCCACTGCATCACCAGGGGCTCCTACTTGATAAATTAAACATCAATAAATATGAAAAAAAATACCAGTAATCACTCCCTCTGAAAAAGTGGGTGCCTTTTAATTGCAATCTTAGACCAATGTGTATGTAAGGTGTTTTTCTTTGTTGTAATTCTGTGCTCAAGTTATTTTGGACTTATGGCAACTCTAAAGTGAAAATATCAGGGATTTGTTGGTCAAGACATGTTCGGAATGGGTTTCTTTGCCTTCTTCTGATTGAGTGTGACTGCTCAAAGTCATTCATTATGGTCAAGAGGGGATTTGAACCCTGATCTCTCGAGTTACACAGGCAGTCCATGAGTTACAAACATCTGAATTGCAAATGACTCATAGTTAAGAATGAAGGAGAGACAACAGGAAGTGAGAGAAATCTACCCCTCAGAAGGAAAATTCACTCCTGAAAGAGTGATCAAGGGGAAAAGATGTCTCCATTGAAGCCTTATCATCAATCCTTGTTTCCGCAACAAGCCATTTTTTCCAAAATCCAATTATCACAGGTACAGAGAGTGAGGTGAAATTATCTGAACAGGGGCACAGACAGCAAAACAAACACCACAGGGCTTCCCTATACTATCCTTCCCTACACTATCCAAAGCTACCTAGAGAGAAAGAGAGACTTTAAAATGTACATGTTCTGACGTACATACAAATTTAACTTAAGAACAAATCTGCAGATCTTTTTCATAACTTTGGGACTGGTGATCCCCATCCAACACATAACTAGGTCTGAACCTGCTTAACACCTTAAGATCAGCTGGGGTCTTGTTTGCAATATCAATATAGTTTTTTTCCAGTTTCTATATATGGTTGTAGAATCTGGACAATGAAAAAAACTGATTGGAAGAGAATCAACCCATTGGAATTGTGGTGCTGGAGGAGAGTTCTTCAGAAACCAGCACTGCCCAAGAAAGCCAAATAATGGACTCTAGAGCAAATCAAGCATGAAACCTCTCTAGAAACCAAACTGACTAACAACTGACATACTTTGGACATATGACAAGATGCATTAGAAAAAGCAATACTTAATAATAATACAGTACTTTATTTCTAGACTGCCCTCTTTCCCTGAAGGGACTAAGAGCAGTCTACACACAAAAAGGCAAGCATTCAGTGCCTCAGGTGAGTACAAAGGTATCAAAATAATACACAATAAAGCACAGTAATAACAGTGACCTAACGGTGAAGAATTAAGCATTGTGATGAAAAACAAAAGAATAAAATAAGACATATTTAACTAAAACATAAACATTACAACAAATACCCTAAAAGCAATTTAAAATGCAGATCATTAAAAATGGCTGGCACAGGTGTTTATTTAAAATGTATTGTGGTAGCCATTTAGAACAAGTGGGACTAGCCAGCATTCCAAGCTGTAGGTTCTTGTGTGTTCTAGAACATGGCCCTATAGCCCGAAAAAACCCACAAGAACCTAGTGATTCCAGCCATGAAAGCCTTCGACAATACATTCCAAGCTGTCTTAGTCCTCTTCTACTCCATATACTAAAGTGCATAGGTGTGTTTTTAAAAGTTTCTTAAAGGAAGGGAGGGGCCATTTTTATTTCTTTAGGGAGGGAGTTCCAGAGACAGTGAACAATCACGGACAAGGTCTCTCTCGTTCCCACCAATGTAGCTTGTGACAGAGGTGGGACCAAGAGGAATGCCTCCTCCATTGACTGCAGTGCACAGGATGGTCTATATAGGGAGATGTGACTAGACAAATATGCTGGACCCGAAGCATTTAGGGCCTTATAGGTAACAATCAGCACTTTGTATTTAGCCCGGAAATCAGCCAGGAGCCAGTGGAGCTGCCACAACATGGGAGTCATCCTCTCACTGGAGTTAGCAGTCTGACCACTGATCTCTGTACTAATTGCAGCTTCAAAACTATCCGCAGCCCCATGTAGAGCGTGTTGCAGTAGTCCAAACGGGATGTGACTAAGGCAAGGCAGAAGAAGTGGAAGACCACATTTCAGATGGACAGACTCAAGGTGCATCTACACTGTAGGATTAGTGCAGTTTGACACCACTTTAATTGTCATAAAGGTAAAGGTTTTTCCCAGACATTAAGTATAGTCGTGCCCGACTCTGAGGGTGGTGCTCATCTCCATTTCTATGTCGAAGAGCCAGCGTTGTCCATAGACACCTCCAAGGTCATGTTGGCTGGAATGACTGCATGGAGCACCATTACCATCCTGCTAGAGCAGTACCTATTGATCTACTCACATTTGCATGTTTTCGAACTGCTAGGTTGGCAGAAGCTGGGCCTAACAGCGGGAGCTCACTCCACTCCCAAGATTCGAACCGTCAACCTTTTGGTCAGCAAGTTCAGCAGCTCAGCAGTTTAACATGCTGTCCCCCCAGGGGATCCCTTATTGCTTTCCCCATAGCTGCCATAGCACAATGCTATGGAGTATTGGGATTTGTAGTTTAGGAAGCAGCAGGATTATTTGGCAGAGAAGGCTAACAACCTTGTAAAACTGCAGCTCCCTTGATTCATAGCACTGAGCCATGGCAAGCTACATTCATTCCAGTGTCAATGCACCCTCCGTCAGGTGAACCCGGAAGACCTATTCAGGGCTAATGATAACAAGGTCACTGGGATTTGAGTTTCTCATTCAAAGTCTCTTTAAGAGCAGTAAACAATAGAAAAGCTTTCCATTTACTGGCGAGAGAGAAAACCCTGCATTTGACTTTCGTTTCTCGCTCTTTACCAGCGTCACAAAACATGACTGTTGGGTACCAGAAAAGAAGCCTCAGACTCGCCGAGATTGCTTGAGCCTGTTTCATCCTTGAGTTTCGTTTCTGCTTCAGGCGCGGTTATTTCCCAACAGAAGCAGGAAAGCAGCGGGGAGGGGGAGGAGAGGGAGTTAATACTCTGCTGCGGATTTGAAGCACAACACACAGCTGCTGCAGCCAAGAGACAGGGTGTTTGGTCGCTGAGAAACCAGAGGTAAGGAACTCATTCCGATATGATCTGATAGTAAACCTACAGGGCGCTCCATACAGGAGGAAAGGAGAGAGTCATTAAGAATAAGAAATGATCTTGGCTGAGGATGTGGATGAGGATGCTCAGTGATCCAAACGGAGTTTCTCACTCAACAGTTTTGTATAACTTTGTATAAGGGAAGTAGTTGCTGATCATCACATTTCCAGTGTTTTATTTATTTATTTATTTATTTATTTATTTATTTATTCAGATCTGTCATTGGTGAGGTTCAGAGTGCTCTGGATGCAGGGTGAACTACAACTCCTGTGTGGGTGGGTCAGTCCCCCAAACCCYTCCAGTATGTTCTGTTGATTCTGCAGGTTCTCTGTGCCACGTTTGGCCTGGATTCATAATTGGTGAGCTTCAGAGGGCTCTCTGGATGTTGGGTGAACTATAACTCCCACCTTGGTGGGTCACCCCCCCCCCCCAAAAAAAAGGTTTGGTCCACGTCCATCATTCATGGGGGTCACAGTAGCCTGTGGAATTGGTGGGCTTCAGAGGGCTCTCTGGATGTTGGGTGAACTATAATTCCCACCTTTGTGGGTCAGCCCCCCCCCAAAAAGATTTGGTCGACGTCCATCATTCATGGGGGTCAMAGTGGCCTGTGGAATTGGGAGCCAATCAGAAAGCTGCAAGAAACATCATTGCACCACCCATCCGCCACCCACAAACATACATACATATATATATACACACACACACACACATATATATATACATAGACATACACACACACACGAATGAATGAAAGATAGATAGATGAGAGAGAGATAGAAAATAAAGATTAGGAAACAGTGCACACTCAGTACTGTCACTGCCAGTATTTAAAGCTCTTTTAAAAATTAAAAAACAACAACAAAAGAACTAAAAGAATAATTATATGTATTTTGATTTGCAGTTGTTTGGCTAGGTTCATGAGTATTGAAAAAAAATAAAATTATTAACTCATTTCAGAAAAGTAATAGATTCCATGTCTGCTTGGTTAGTTGGAAATTTCATTCCAACAGAGATGTTGGACTTATGAACTGACATGCAAATCAGAACACACACACAAAAAAAAGACAAGAGTCTTCCTTTTCTTTCAGGATTGTGGAGTCAGCGTGCCTACCCTTCAATTCCTCTATTTTCCTATTGTCTGATTCCAGCTATTTTATAAATAGCAAATGTGCAATAAATTAATTAGAATTAATAAATTTACTGTGGTAGTATGGTGGCACAGGAATTTCATCACCATATGAATCATTCTTAGAGTGACAGAACGTAAAATATATTTACTTCAATAAAACAGCTGAGCAAGAAAGCTTCCCTAAATGTCTATGGTAAAATATATATCTACTGAATCCAACTCCACCCAAAATTGCTTCCAACTTTACAGATCTGACACTACTGTCCTGCTTTCATTAAGAACTTATTTTCTGTGATCTAACAAACTTATTTTCATTCTAGGAAAGCAAAAATGTCTGTCGAGAATATGAACAAAAATGGTCCAGTTTTACCAGGGAATGAGCAAGAAGAGGTACTGATCTTTGGCCTTCCAAAATTATATCCAGTTGTTGTCAAAATCCATCTCTCCCTAATGCATATTTTGTATATTTGAGAACGTTTCTTAAAATCCAAGACACGTCCTGATCTGATACACCAGTAAGTGTCTGCAGTGTTAACAGTGGTATAAGGATAGCATCAATATTCAGTGGCAATCTTCCTCAAGAAAGGGCACATGTATTTGTAAATAAAAGAAAAATAAGACATTGGTTTCTTCTGCATTAAGCTATATCAAAATATGACTCACATGTTGACACTGTGAGAGGGGAATGGCTTTTCCATTCTTCAACCCAATGGTAATGCTGTAACCAGTGGAAGTGTGCCACCTCCACTGGGAGCAAAAAACAATTACCATTTTCTCAAAAAATGTCGGTCAACAATATAAAGGAAAATACCCCCACCATTTAAAAAGTGTGGCCCCAAATGAACATCCCTACAAGTGAACATATGGAAACCCATTATTATACATACTTAAACATTTATTTATTTGTTTATTTATTTATTTATTTATGTGCAGTTATGTATACGCAATTGTATAATTTCACTAATCTGGTTGGCAGAACCTGGGAGGAGCATGTAGCAAAATATTTCATTACGTCTTGGAAATTGACCTGTTTAAGCACTAATTGTTGTTTTGGTTTTTTTCTTCTTCAGATAACAGAAGGGGCCTCTCTGTGCAGCCAATATGAGGCAAAGGTCCGTCCTTGCATTGACCTCATTGACTCTCTGAGAGACCTGGGTGTGGAAAAGGACTTGGGTCTGCCGGCGATTGCTGTGATTGGAGATCAGAGCTCTGGGAAGAGTTCTGTTCTAGAAGCACTGTCCGGCGTAGCTCTTCCAAGGGGCAGTGGTGAGAATACTTATTCAGCCTTTCCACTTTTAAATATTCATTTTTAAAAAATAAAATTTTGCTTCCTTCCTTCCTCTCTGTGATGAAGTAGGTAGAGACAAGGGTGATGCCTTCTGTGTGGTGGCATTTCTTTCCCAAGGGAGATTGACCTCTGATGCCTTTGGGGCACTAAATGAACCTCGTTAAATACACACACATTCCTTTACCTCTAAATTTCTGTATATACTCGCGTATAAGCCACTTTTTTCAGACTGAAAAAGCCCCCCATGGCTTATACTTGGGCGGAAAGGCTTGAATAAAAAATAGTAAAAAAAAAAACCCTCTAGAATGTTCCGAATTGCTGCACATGCGCACTGGGAAACCCATATGTGTGGATTTCACAGATGGACACTCGAAGAAATATGGTTACAGGTAAGCAACCTATGCTTTCCTCTCCTACTCTCTCGCAAAGCGTGCACCTTCCTCTCCTCTCTCAGCACCTGTCTTTCCCACTTTTCCTTATTCATATACACACAGCATTTTCCCCAAAATGTATAGTTAAAATAAACTATGGTGACTATTGGAAGGATATGGAAGCACTTTTACATTGAAGAAGGTTAGAATAATAATTTAATCAGTGTTGGATAGTCTTATCTTAAATTACAGTTTTATATAAATATTCAAAAACATTTAACCTACTGATGCCTCAATTAATGTAATTTTATTGGTATCTATTTTTATTTTGAAATTTACCAGTAGTTGCTACATTTCCCACCCTCGGCTTATTCTCGAGACAATAAGTTTTCACATTTTCTTGTGGTAAAATTATTTATTTCGTGCATTTCTACCCTGCCCTTCTCAACCCCCGAGGGGGGACTCAGGGGTTGACACCTTGGCTTATACCTGAGCATATATGGTACTTGTATTCACCTTTTTGCGAGTTTTCTTTTTTACTATTTATTTTCATTCGCCATGGTTTCATAATTGTTGGCTTTCTGGTTGTTTAGCAGAGTTTTAAAACCTATTGAAACAACTTTTGTTGTTATGAATAAAATAAAAACGTCTTTAAAATAAATTAATGACCCACTTTTTTCTCCCTTCTAGCTAAAGCATGCCAAAAATAGCTGAAATAAGTATGGCATGCAAACATTTCCAACAATATTATATTGCATTCTGCTGGTAGAAATAGTTATTTTTCTTTAGCCATTCTAGGAGTTTGTGGACATTTTCCAGGACACTGAAATCAGGATCTTTCTTCTCTTAGTATCTTTATTCATTTTTAAAGAATAAATAAAATTGTATGTGTTTTAACTTTATAGGTATTGTTACAAGATGCCCCTTAGAACTAAAACTGAAGAAAACGCACCACACAAAGGAATGGAAAGGGAAGATTGCATATTTGGATACAGTGCAAGAACTGAATAATTCGTCAGGAGTAGAAGAGGCAGTGATAACAGGTAACTGTCAGTGTTAACGCATAACAGTGAAATCCCATCAGATTCACACATACAAACTTCTTGTTTCTTGTTTTATGCTGTCCTGCAGAACATATGCTACAATTGCAGAAGCTTGCAAACTTGCAACTATGCTATAGGTCGTAGCCATTTAGCAATTTGCTAAATGCTGAAGTGCTTTAGCTTTTCTTTTTGGGGGAAAATGCCATATCTTTCAAAATATTAAAATGTTAAAATATCTAAGTAGCAGCTACTAAAACTCAGAAAGTAAAGAGGTTTAGTGCCCAATTCAAGTGCAGGATTTTGGGCATCCAAATCTTGTTTCGCAGCATATTTTGGTCACAAGCATTCTTTTTTCCCTCATGAACACTGTTCCATGGTTTCGTAACCATTATTATTATTATTATTATTATTATTATGCCTTTTCTCTCCACAATGGAGACTCAAAGTGGCTCACATTAAAAGTATTTCAATACAGTTTTAAAATGTAAAAATATTAAAAATAATTAAATACAATTAGTATTAGGAACAATTCATTTAAAAACCACGAAAACATATTCAAAACTAAAAATGTCAGCACCCCCTAACTTGATCTTTAAAACCTTCTTCTTTAAAAGCCTGTCTGAATAAAAAGGTTTTAGCCTGCCACCGGAAGTACAGCAGGAAGGGGGGCATTCTGGCTTCCCTGAGCAGCCACCAAGAAGGACCACTCTCTCGTTCCCATCAACCGGGCTTGAGATGGAGGTGGGACCAAGAGAAGGGCCTCTCCTGAAGATCTCAGGGCCTGGGCAGGGGACACGGTCAGCCAAATAGCCTGGATCAGAGCCATCTATGGCTTTAAAGGTCATAACCAGCACTTTGAATTATACCCAGTAACAGACTGGCAGCCAGTGGAGTTGCTGCAACAGGGGGGTTGCCCACTCCCTGTAGCCAGCCCCAGTGTGCAACCTGGCTACAGTTCTTAAGACCAGCTGAAGTGTCCAAGCACTCTTCAGAGGCAGCCCCACATAGAGTGCATTACAGTGATCCAGATGAGATGTAACTAAGGCATATACCACTGTGGCCAGATCTGGCTTCTCAAGGAATAGGTGCCATTGGCACACAAATTTTAATTGTGTAAAGGCCCTCCTGGCCACTGCCGATACCTGGGCCTCCAGATTCAATGCCGAGTCCAGGAGGACCCCAAAGCTGAAGACACAGTAAACATGAGTTTAAAATTCATGCTTACAGACTGGCTGGGTAGGCCTGCCAGAAGAGACAGGTCTTTACATGGTTTTTAAATTCTGACAGCTAATCTAGCTGTCGGAGCCCTACTGGCAGGTCATTCCACAGTCTTAGAGTGGTTGATGAAAGGTCCTCTGGGTGATGGTTGCCAGTTGGGTTCTGCCAGGCTGGAGTAACCACCCCCCAGTGTCCCTCAGTGTGCAGGGTGGATTGTACAGAAGAAGGCGATTCTTTCGATAACCTAACTCCAAAACTCTGGATGACTCCCCCAGTGGTTTCATGCATATGCTAAACAACATGGTGGACAGAATGGATCCCTGAGAGACCACAGATCAATGGCCATGTGTTTGAACAGGAGTCCCCCAGCATCACCTTCTGGGTACGGCCACACATCTGTGTGGTAGATCAAATTGTTTTGTACCAATAGCTTCTTTTAACCTTGTGTCTCATACTGTTTTCTCTTATTAATACAGCTCAAAATAAAATGGCTGGTAAAGGAGTGGGCATTAGCCATGACTTAATTAGCCTGGAAATTTGCTCCCATGATATTCCAGACCTTACTCTAATAGATCTTCCAGGGATTGCAAGAGTTGCTGTTGGTAACCAGCCGGAAGACATTGGAATGCAGGTAAAATAGACATATGTTCTTGAGTGACAGGAGTCTTAACATTATTCGAATAGGTTCTTGAAAGTATAAGAGAACTTCCTATAATATCAGACTTGCCCATGCTCTAAAATGATCAGCTTGCATTCCTTCTCAAATGTCACCTCTGCTTGTAAGGAACATCATTAGTTTACTGAAATCTCTGCCCTTGGAGATTTGGCTGTACCAAAGTTGTTATGTTTTCTGTGCTGATCAAATAAAACTGTTCATACAGTAAGATATTTTAACACTTTTCGGCCCAGCTTCTGCCAACCTAGCAGTTTGAAAACATGCAAATGTGAGTAGATCAATAGGTACCGTTCTGGCGGGAAGGTAACAGTGCTCCAGCCACATGACCTTGGAGGCATCTATGGACAACGCCAGCTCTTTGGCTTAGAAATGGGCCACCCCCTAGAGTCAGACTCAACTAGACTTAATGTCAAAGGGAAACTTTTACCTTTACCTTTATATTTTATCTCCTGCTTGCAGTGTAACTAATGTGTGCTGTGGGTAGTGTTTTCAATTGTTAGGCTCCAGGTTCCTAGATGAGCTTTCTCAGAATCTAAGCATATGTATTAAAAGAGTTTGGGGAATAAAATGGAATCATGCATGTCTCAAACAACATGGAGTTAAGCAACAGTCTCGCAATGCTTCTTTCTGAAATTAATCCTGTAAATGTGATTAAAACCACTGTCTCACTGAATCCCCAAACACAGAATCAAACTAACATGATCCATACTTGATGGTATCAGAAGCCCAAATGTAACAATAACCATGATGGTTGTATAGATGCCCTGTTCCCTAGATGCCCTACTATAATGCTTTCAGGTGCTTACAACAGTTTCAAAACTCACAAAATTTGAAATCTTCCAAATCCTAGTCCAACATTCACAATGTGTCGAGGTGAATGTGAAGAGACGTCCATGTGGTCCTAATACTGAAATTGCTTCTTAAAAGCTGTCCTATTTGGTCCAAGTTCATTTTAAAAAGGCTCTGCTTATAGATATTATCTGGGGTATTTTATTTATTTATTTATTTCGGACATTTCTACCCCACCCTTCTCCCCCCCCCCAGGGGGGACTCAGGGCAGCTTACATCCGGCACAATTCGATGCCAACAATTACAATAAAATGCAATAACAATAACACAATAGTTAAAAACATACAATTAATACAATTAATACAATATTATCAGGTCTCAGGATGAGAGCATGTATTGGTGGTGTGCGGTGCAAGTCTTGTTTGGATTGTCTTTTTGCAGATAACTACATTAATTCAGAAATACATTAACAAACAAGAAACAATCAATTTGGTGGTGGTGCCAGGTAATGTAGATATTGCAACAACAGAGGCACTGAAAATGGCACAGGAAGTAGACCCACAAGGAGAGAGAACTCTTGGTAAGTAAATAAAACACTTGTCATTATAGCAAAGAAAATTCTTTACAATCAGGATAGTATTTTCTGCTCACTCTAGTAGCATCCTAGAACTCATAGGCTAAAACCTTGTATTCCTAAGTTAGCTTCTACATGTTCATGCTGCATAAATTCATGGTGCCTGAATTGTATTGCACCAAATCCTGTATGTAACCACTAGTTAGTTGGTGCTCAATATCTGAGTTTGCTAATAGGAAAGTAAACTTATAATGGCAAAATTTACATACCTAATGCCTATGCTTTTCGTATGTGATGCTTCAACAGATATTCCTGGAAACTGGCTCTCTTGAATAGGAAGAGGTCTTTATGTGATGTAAACTGCCTTGAAAGGTGGAATATAAATTCAATTAACATATACCCTGCATGACAATTCTACCAATCTATACCAGAGTAGCCAACTTGAAAAAACTCTAAACTTTTAAAGAAGATACATTGAACAAGGATTAAAAATAAATAAGGAAAAACAGTCAGTTGTGGGGAGGTGCAGCAACTCACCATCATTTCCCCAGGGTGATGAACTTGCTAAATAAGGAGAGGTCAATGCTCATATTGTTGTTTATTTATTCAGTCGCTTCCGAGTCTTTGTGACCTCATGGACCAACCCACATCAGAGCTCCCTGTCGGCTGTCACCTCCCCCAGCTCCTTCATGGTCAAGCCAGTCATCCATCCATCTCACCCTTGGTCAGCCCCTCTTCCTCTTTCCCTCTATTTTCCCCAGCAGAATTGTCTTCTCTAAGCTTTCCCGTCTTCTCATAATGTGGCCAAAGTACTTCATCTTTGCCTCTAATATCCTTCCCTCCAATGAGCAGTCGGGCTTTATTTCCTGAAGTATGGACTGGTTGGATCTTCTCACAGTCCAAGGCACTCTCAGAACTTTCCTCCAACACCACAGTTCAAAAGCATCTATCTTCCTTCGCTCAGTCTTCCTTATGGTCCAGCTCTAACATCCGTAGGTTACTACGGGGAATACCATTGCTTTAACTATGCAAATCTTCGTTGCCAGTGTGATGTCTCTACTCTTCACTGTTTTTTCAAAAATGGTCATTGCTCTCCTCCCAAGAAGTAAACGGCTTCTAATTTCCTGGCTGCAGTCTGCGTCTGCAGTAATCTTTGCACCTAGAAATACAGTCTTTCACTGCCTCCATGTTTTCTCCCTCTGTCTCTCACCTCAGAGTAGAGTCACCTTGCTTCAGACACCAAACGGCACACAAGCAATAGTTTTTTATGGTTTGTTAAAATAAAAGATAAAAAGTTCAAAAAGGCAAAAGTATAGTTCCAAAGATCAGTATAAGGTAACACAGGAAAACAGGATCCACGAAGATATAAGCAAGGCAAAGTCCCATGAGAACATGACTAAGTCCTGAAACCATGAACATGAAAACTGCAAGATAAATCCTAAGTCTCTTGGCTGAAGCGAGAAGTTGCTCTGACACTGGGGTATTTTCAAACAGCCGTTTTAATACCCTTTGGGAAACATGAAGGCGTTCCTCTGGCCCTTGGCCTCCCTCTCTCTTTTGCTAGCGATTCTCACACTTCTTCGAACCTTAAATTCCAAGCGATCAGCTCGATCTAAAGCTCCGGCCTCATCAAGGTCAATCTGTTCGTTAGTGCTTTCTTGCTCATTATCTGGCTGAGAACAACTGTCCTCCCTTCCTGAATCAAAATGCACCTGGATTTCAGTAGTTTCATTATCAACAGCATCATCCCTTGCTGTGGGAAACAACTGAACTTCTGTACCCTGCTCTTCCTCGTCTATCACATCACTTTGCACCTGACTGTGAATCTGAATCCCATCATCCACATCAGACTCATTGACACTATCACTTTGTGATTCCAGCTGAGTCACAACCCTCTGTTTTCCAGTTATCAGTCATTCTTGTTGCCATAATCTTGCGTTTTTTATGTTTAGCTGCAACCCAGCTTTTGCACTTCCTTCTATCACATTGATTAGAAGATTCCTCAGCTCCTCGCTTTCAGCCATCAAAGTGGTGTCATCTGCATATCTGAGGTTGTTAATGTTTCTTCCAGCAATTTTCACCCCAGCTTTGCATTCATCCAGCCCTGCACATCACATGATGTGTTCTGCATACATGTTAAAAAGATTGAGTGAGAGTATGCAGCCTTGCTGTACGCCTTTCCCAATCTTGAACCAGTCTGTTGTTCCATGGTCAGTTCTTACTGTTGCTGCTTGGTCATTATACATTATTGTTCCTCAGGAGAGAGAGAAGGTGATTTGGTATGCCCATACCACCAAGAACTTGCCACAATTTATTATGATCCACACAGTCAAAGGCTTTAGAATAGTCAATAAAACAGAAATATATGTTTTTCTGAAACTCCCTGCCTTTCTCCATTGTCCAGCGGATATTGGCAATTTGGTCTCGTATTCCTCTGCCTTTTCTAAACCCAGCTTGTACATCTGGCAACTCTCGCTCCATGTATTGCTGGAGTCTTCCTTGCAGGATCTTGAGCATTACCTTACTAGCATGAGAAATAAGGGCACTGTAGGAAAGTTTAAGCATTCTTTAGCATTTCTCTTTTTTGGTATGGGGATATAAGTTGGTTTTTCCAGTCTGATGGCCATTCTTGTGTTTTCCGTATTTGCTGGCATATGACATGCATCTCCTTGACACCTTTCTCGTATTAGCAGCCAGAACAACAACAAAACATTTATTTATACCGTGCCCTCTTCCCCCCCCCCCCTTCCCCGGGACTCACATTGGGAACAACAGGGAACACATTGTGATATTTAAGATGATGACAATAACAAAGAAAGTGATAATGATCCCAGCTCTTCTAGATTACCTCATTTGGATGAAACTCTAATTTTTTCCATTTCAGATATCCCTTTCTCATTATACTCTCAAAGGCTTCTTCCACACAGTTGCATAAAATCCACATTGAACTGGATTATATAGCAGTGTGGACTCAGATAATCCAGTTCAAAGCAGATATTGTGGATTATATGCCTTGATATTCTGGGTTATATGGCTGTGCAGAAGGGCCCTATGATATTTTCATTTAAGTGATTAACAAACCTGTTTCTTTAGGAAGTTTTTTAAAGTTGTTTTCCAAGGATCAATTGTCATTCTCTACCAAAAAAAAAAACCACCCAAACAAACCCCAGTTAAAACGCACAGAATAAAATTGGTTGCCAAGGAAGACTAGAATCACTTTTGATGAGTAGCTGGTTGATCCTACCTAAGTAGTCCATGTATTTCCTCACTTGGAAAGCTTCCTAAGTCATAAGGGCAGATTCAAGGGCAAGAAAATTGAGGGAAGAGGCTGTTCATAGATGGAATGTTTTTTGTTCCACATGTCTTCCATTCTAATTATTAAAAGTGTGTTTTCTTTCTTGTGTTTTCCTTATTTCACAGGCATTGTGACTAAGCCTGACTTGGTTGATAAAGGAGTTGAGGAAGAAATAGTTGACATAGTTCAGAATCAGAGAGTTCCCCTGAGAAAAGGATATATGATAGTTAAATGTCGTGGACAGACTGACATCAACAAGAAAGTGAGTTTGAAAGATGCAATCCAGAACGAGAGAAGATTTTTTGAAGAGCACACCATTTTCAGGTAGCTTTTAAAAAATAATAATAAAATAAAACAGAGGCTTTCATGGCCAGAATCACTGGGTTGTTGTGGGTTTTCCGGGCTGTATGGCCATGTTGCAGAAGCATTATCTCCTGATTTTTCACCTGCAACTATGGCAGGCATCTTCAGAAGTTGTGAGATATGCACAACATGAAGGATTCAACCCACTTCATAGAAAAAATCAGCAACCTGAAGCTCAATACTAATGACAAACTGATCAGCTTCAATGTGGTGTCTCTATTTATCAAGGTCCTGCTAGCAGACACCATTGCACTAATCAACCAGAAGTTCCCAGGAGACATCACAGCTGTTTCACCATTGCCTCACCACAAGTTACTTTCAGTGGGAAAATGAATTCTATGAACAGAAAGCTGGCGCAGCCATGGAGAGCCCTCTCAGTCCAGTCATAACAAATTTCTACATAGAACAATTTGAAAAGCAAGCCCTGGAAAAACAACAAAAGAAGGCCATTCAGATATGTGGATGACACCTTCACCATTTGGAGCCATGGAAAAGAAGAACTAAATAGGTTCCTGCACCACCTTAACAGCATCCACCCAAACATCCAATTCACCATGGAAAAAGACAATGAAGGAAAACTGCCTTTTCTAGATGTCATAATCATCTGCAAACCAGATCAACAACTGGGTCACACAGTTTACAGAAAACCTACACACACAGGTAGATACCTACATAAAAACTCCAACCATCACCCAAGTAAAAAAAGAAGCACCATTAAAGCCTTGGCAGACCGTGCCAAGAAGAATCTGCGAAGCCTACTTCCTCCAAGATGAATTAAACCACCTAATTTATTTATTTATTTATTTATTTATTTATTTATTACTGGTACTTTTACCCCGCCCTTCTCCACCCCCGAAGGGGGACTCAGGGCGGCTTACAGAAAAGGCAGAATTCGATGCCTATACACAATACATAGTATACAAAAATATAAAAGAACAATATACAAAAAATGCAATTAAAACTATAGACACAATAAAACATCAACAACTGGTACCTGAGACATTGTATAACATCATATAAAACATCCTATAACTGGGGTTTACAAGCCAATGGATACTCCACCAGTGTTCTTACCATACATCAAGAGAACCACTGGCCACCTAGGGAAGCTGTTGAGGAAACACAACCTACAAACTATCTACAGGCCCACTAAGGAAATCCAACAAATGCTCCATTCAATGAAGGACAAGAGGGATCCTCTCACCTCTGCAGGAGTCTACCGTATACCATGCAGCTGTGGACAAGTCTAGACAGGGTCCACCAAACGCAGCATTTCCCAAACACGAATCAAGGTGCATGAAAGGCAAAGCAGACTAATTCATCCGGAGAAATCAGCCATTGAAGAGCATCTGATGAACCAACCTGGACACAGCATATTATTTGAGAACACAGAAATGCTAGACCACTCTAATAACTACCATGTCAGACTACACAGAGAAGCCACTGAAATCCACAAGCATGTGGACAATTTCCACATAAAGGAAGGAACCATGAAAATGAACAAAATCTGGCTACCTATATTAAAAAATCATAACAGCAAATAAAGAACACTCAAAAACAGGGAAACTCCAGACAATAAACAATCAGGGACAGCTAATCACCCATTGACAAAGTAAGACGCCACACCTGAAACTTCACGGCCATTAAATGCTAATCAAGGTGGCCAATAGAAACATTCACACCTACCTTCTTTCTCCCATCCTGGACATTCCACAGATATATAAACCCTGTTTTCCTAGTTTCCAACAGACCTCACAACCTCTGAGGATGACTGTCATAGATGCAGGCGAAACGTCAGGAGAGTGCTTTTGAAATATGGTCATACAGCCATACACACAACAACCCAAAACATAGGTGGATACCTCAGATTGTGTTTTTTCTTGGCCTATGTTATGGGTTAAATAAGTGCATGCTGCAAAATAGCTGTGGTACTTTCAGACATTCTGTACTGCTCTGTGAGTTGAATATATGCAGAACAAGACAGCAGACTCTTGAGGATTTAGATGGAGGATGAAATGAGCCTTAGRGTAGATAAACAATGAACACTGAACAAATAACTAACTGAATTTAAAATGTGTCACAAATCATTGTTATGTGTGGATTTGATTGTAAAATATTCATAACAGAAGTTGCCTTTGTTTTAAGCTTGGTGGGGGGGGGGGGGTTGAAAAGCCAATTTCTTGTCCACATAATGAGAGGAAAAAGAAGTTTAAAAATACAACCACAGAAGAAAGGTGAAAGAAATAAAATCAATTAACATGAGTAATAAAAGTGAGAGGAACAATGAACAAGTTCAAATCCATTGCAGCGCTCCATCCAGTATTAACCAAAGAACAAATAGAAAACCCAACAAACCCAGAAGCCCCTCAATATTTGATGAACTACCAGCACCAAGCACAATGATATTTATTTATTTACTTTATTTATATACCGCTCTTCTCAGCCCTTAGGCAACTCAGAGCGGTTTACAACAGTTTAGATGTACAGGATACAAAATCATTATGCATTTAAAAAATAAAAGTCATTAACATCATTAACATCAGCATCAAAACCTCAATACATCAATATAACAAATCCATCCAGTCTAGTCGGTGAAATCAGAATCCAAAACTCGTTATCCATTATTCCGTGTTCCAATAATCAGTCAATCAATCACACTGCTTAGTCGAATGCCTGTTCAAACATCCAGGTCTTTACTTTCCTCCGGAATGCCAGCAAGGAGGGGGCCGATCTAATATCTGCAGGAAGGGCGTTCCACAGCCGAGGGGCCACCACTGAGAAGGCCCTGTCTCTCGTCCCCGCCAGGCGTGCTTGTGAAGCCGGCGGGATCGAGAGCAGGGCCTCCCCAGATGATCTTAATGTCCTAACTGGTTCATAGGAGGAGATGCGTTCGGACAGGTAGGTCGGGCCAGAACCGTTTAGGGCTTTAAAGGCTAAAGCCAGCACTTTGAATTGTGCCCGGTAGCAAATTGGCAGCCAGTGGAGCTGGCGCAACAGAGGAGTGGTATGCTCCCTGAGTGCCGCTCCTGTTAGCATCCTGGCTGCCGATCGTTGGACCATTTGAAGCTTCCGAGCAGTCTTCAGAGGCAGCGTTGCAGTAGTCTAAACGGGATGTGACTAGAGCATGGACTACCGTGGCCAACCTGTGATATAACCCACTCACCTCCCCATATTTTCATAGTCCGAAAATTGGGGAAATAGATAAATAAATATGACATAATGAATTACAAAACTTAAAAGCCATACTCAAGTAGCATCAAGAAAACTGATGTGTGGGTAGGAAGAAGAGAACAATGAGAAATTCAAATTTTAGCCACCTGGACTGCCTCTGAAAAGAGGCAGAAAAGCCTCCAAAATAGAAGGAGGGGATGATGAGATATAAAATAATAATAAACCTCCACTTTGTCTCTTGATATCAAGCTCTGCAGCACAAAGCATGCTTCCTCTTCCTGCTTCTTCCTCATTTTTTTTCCTTCCTTCCTTCCTTCCTTCCTTCCTTCCTTCCTTCCTTCCTTCCTTCCTTCCTTCCTTCCTTCCTTCCTTCTTCTTGTGATTACTGCTTCTACTGCTTGTCATGAAATAGGACATTTCTGTAATACAAGGAAGAAAGAAACACTATCACAAACAGAAACATTATCCTCCATATTGTTCGCATAAGAATGCCTTCAACATTCTACATAGTTTTGTTGGAAAAATACCAATATTTTCAGGCTTAGGTGATAGTTTAACATAATTGATAGCAATGCCTTGTGTACAATCCCTGCATAAAATTTAGTGGAAGAATGTACTGTTGGGCTGGTTCACTTTATCCCATTAGACCAGTGGTTCTCAACCTGTGGGTCCCCAGGTGTTTTGGCCTACAACTCCCAGAAATCCCAGCCAGTTTACCAGCTGTTAGGATTTCTGGGAGTTGAAGGCCAAAAACATCTGGGGACCCCAGGTTGAGAACCACTGCATTAGACCAAGCATAGGCAAACTTCGGCCCTCTAGGTGTTTTGGACCAACTCCCATGCTTCCTAACAGCCTACCAACTGTTAGGAATTGTGGGAATTGAGGTCCAACACACACGGAGAGCCGAAGTTTGCCCATGCCTAGAGTGTTGTTCCCAGTTGTTCTTGTTCCCACTGGCCTTATATGGACAGCACATCCAAAACTGGTTGGAACACTAAGGGCTTGGATATCTGGATTAACCACCTAGTTGAGGACTGTCCTATGTATGTTTTATATTACACCTGTAAGCAGGTATTGGATATGGCATCCTTTGTGACTAGAAGACTGGAACCATTGGGTTTTGTTAGGCATAAGAAAAAAACTACCTTGCCTTATTCTGCTCATCCTGAACATTTCAGTTTTAACAGCCAGACTTGAGATAATATTTGAAATTCTCTATCTGTCTAGGTACAAATGAAATATATTAAAATGTGATCATTTATTGTGGTTGGGTTTGTTTTTTTCAGGTCCCTCTTGGAGGAAGGTAAAGCCACCATCCCTCTTCTGGCAGAACGGCTTACGCAGGAACTGATAGAACACATTAATGTAAGAGAGAAAATATATTTCAGAACTTAAAGTAGGGAAGTAGATGTACATTTATTATGAACTGAACCCATGATTTACTAGAAGCTGGGTCATGCTGTTAGCTGTGCAGTCATGTAGACTATCTGTGTAAGAAAAACCTACATGTGAGCACTGATATTTGTATGTGTAAACTTTGGCATCTGGAACAGGGCCAAAGCATGCCCCATTGTTCCCATGAGAAGAGGACTTCTGTGAACACCAGTCTTTTAGAGGGAGCTATTAGGATTTTACAAGATACTTTTCAGATTGAATCGGGCAACATAGAAATGTGAAAATTTCATGCTTTGAATGTCAAATCTTTGCTAATGTAATATATGTTTCGTTTACTACTTTTCTCACTTTCCTTTTGTTAGTTAAGACCAGCATAACATACAATTTTGTATGCAAAACATATGTAATATGGGATTTAGGTTTTAGATTTCATTTTCTTTTATAAAGTGGGATGTAGGGAGGGATAAAACTCAAATTTCCCCTCTTCCATTCTCCAGTACCAAGTTGATTCCCTTTTACAAGGTCCCCCATGACCTTCTGGCAAACAAATTAGTCAAATGTGGACTAGGCAAAACTACGATTAAGTGAATCTGTAATTGGTTAAGCGAACGAACCCAAAGGTGCTCACCAATGCTTCCTCTTCATCCTGGAAAGAAGTTTTGAGTGGAGTGCCGCAGGTTTCTGTCCTGGGTCCAGTCCTGTTCAACATCTTTATTAATGAGTTAGATGAAGGGTTGGAAGCCATGATCATCAAATTTGCAGACGACACCAAATTGGGAGGGATAGCCAATACCCCAGAAGTCAGGAAAAGAGTTCAAAATGATCTTAACAGATCAGAGAGATGGGCCAAAACTAACATAATGAAGTTCAACAGAGACAAGTGCAAGATATTTCACTTAGGCAGAAAAAAATGAAATGCAGAGATACAGAATGGGGGATGCCTGGCTCGAGAGCAATACGTGTGAAAAAGATCTTGGAGTCCTCGTGGGCAACAAGTTAAACATGAGCCAACAATGTCATACGGTGGCAAAAAAAGGCCAGTGGGCGTTTGGCCTGCATAAATAGGAGTATCGTGTCTAGATCCAGGGAAGTCATGCTCCTCTTTATTCTGCCTTGGTCAGACTACACCTGGAATCACGGTGTGTTCAATTCTGGGCACCGCAATTGAAGGGAGATGTTGACAAGCTGGACTGTGTCCAGAGGAGAGTGACTAAAATGATCAAGGGTCTGGAAAACAAGCTCTGTGAGAAGGCAGAGAGGAGACATGATGAGGGCCATGTATAAATATGTGAGAGGAAGTCATAGGGAGGAGGGAACAAGCTTGTTTTCTGCTGTCCTGGAGACTAGGGCGTGGAACAATGACTTCAAACTACAGGAAAGGAGATTCCATCTGAACATGAGGAAGAACTTCCTGACTGTGAGAGATGTTCAGCTGTTGAACTCTCTTCCCCGGAGTGTGGAAGAGGCTCCTCCTTTGGAGGCTTTTAAACAGAGGCTGGATGGCCATCAGTCAGGGCTACTTTGAATTCAATTTTCCTACTTGGTGGGGTTTTGGACTGGATGGCCCATGAAGTCTCTTCCAAATCAGTGATTCCATGATTCTATACCTGTTAGCTACTGTTCCATTCTCTACAGCTAGTAGCAGATTTAGGACCATATACCTGGGAAACTGTTGTGAAGAGAAACAGTTTCCACCACACTGCCCAGACCCTTTCTACCCAGGCTGTATTCCAGACGTGTTTTTAGGAAAAGACAAAGGGAAATCTAGATACAGATCTGTTAAACCATGGCTGAAAGTACATTTGGCAATATACCTTTTGCCAGATGATTTTTCCCTTGCTTTTTAATTTAGTTTTATGAGGCTCCTGTACACAGTAGAGAGAAAAGGTAGCAGCAGACAAATCTGGTTTACCTTTTCCCATATGACTGTTTCCACATGATAGTTCTACCTCTTTCCTTCTTATCTCATCTATTTTTAGAAGAAGCAAAATATTTTATTGGGAAGAGGATAAATTTAGATAGGGAAAGGATTTGGTATCCCTTTCCCAGTTTCTTCATCCAGAATTCTAACATTTAAAAAAAACTGAAAGGGAAAAATACATGTCACTATACGTCATTTGTGATTTGTGCCCAAGAGCCAAAGTATATTGAAATATGCAATTGCTATGACAAATTTCGATAAAATAGTGAAGAGTAGAGACATCACACTGGCAACGAAGATCTGCATAGTAAAAGCAATGGTATTCCCCTAGTAAAAGCAATGGTAACCTATGGGTATGAGAGCTGGACCATAGGGAAGGCTGAGTAAAGGAAGATAGATGCTTTTGAACTGTGGTGTTGGAGGAAAGTTCTGAGAGTGCCTTGCACTGTGAGGAGATCCAACCAGTGACTGGCTTGACCTTGAAGGAGCTGGGGGTGGTGACGGCCAACAGGGAGCTCTGGTGTGGGCTGGTCCATGAGGTCACGAAGAGTCCAAAGCGACTGAACGAATGAACAACAAATAGCCTTTACAAAAAATAATAACGGAAAGCAGTTCGATCAGGAAACAAAATCCTATTGAGGCTAACATCTTTCAGGAAATATAGTTTAAGGTTTCTTTGTAGACATTTAATTAATGTTTTTGATGAATGTACAAAACGATTAGTTTTTAAATAACCTTTGCAATGCTTTTACTGTGTGTTTTCTATGATTTCATGTGTATTGTTTTAAATATGATTTTAGCTGTCTTGATTTTCAATATTGACAGGATATGAATGAATAACATTATGACAATAATGATAGACAGACATAATCAGAATCAGAAATGTGTCTTTTCTTCATCTTAATTTGTTCCATTCACAGGATATTCACTTACTACTAACTTTTAGGGGAGATTTATGGCTTGGGGAAGTACATCAGCGCTAATCTCCATCTGATTGATCAATAGATTATTCTATAAATCCATTCTAATAAGAGGTATTGAAATAATTATTTGAAGGCTTAATACCTTTGTTATTGGTGTCTTGCTTTTTATTTTAGAAATCATTACCCTCTTTAGAAAGGCAAATAAAGGACAAACTTGAGGAAGCGAGTATAAAGCTAGAGCACTGTGGTCAAGGTGTACCTGAAACACAGGAAGACCAGACACGTTTTCTTATACAGGTGAGCACTTTTATAGGTGGATATGTAAGTAAGCGTGGTCTTTGTTTTTAGTTATGGAATATTTTGATACTTCCTCAGGGATTGGAGAACTACCATATCTTTAAAAGTGTATGTAACTTTGGTAGCAGAGGATGAGGCTTTGAACACTGCCTGGTATGGCTAGGCTTTGCTATAATTAGGTCTGTTTAATGAGGAAGCTGATAGTAAAAGACCAAATATCAATAGACCCACTATATTGTTGCCAGTCACATCCTTCAAAAAGGAAAAGACTGCAAATTCAAGTATACTACTAACAGCTGCAATTTCGCTTGCCTACTAATAAGTCCCATTGAATTCAGGAATGCTTACTTGTAAATAGACTTGTTAGACAAGACTTTTCCAGGAGCTTATCTCAGCGTCTTTAACTTTTTTTTTTAAAAAAAGGTACAGTATACAGAATCTGCCCATTCTCTTTTTCATTGCTTTCTGCCTAAATCAATCTTTACGGGCTGTTCACACATACATTAAACCCACTTCTGAGTGGGTTTAAGAAACCCGTTCAAAACGGGGTTTAAATCCACACAGGCAGGGGAAAAATGGGCTTTCCCCTTTGGCTGTACACATGCTATCCCAAAGACATCTGGGATAACATTTGGCCGTCCAATCCCAACCCCCCCCCCCCTCCAGAAAAAACTTAAAAATAAAAAGGAAACTCACCAGGAGCCATTGGGCTTCTTTTCCTACCCGAGGGAACATACTAATGATGTCCAAAAACATAGGGGGAGCCAGGAGCAATTCCCCCCCCCCCTCATCTCAGGCATCATTAGTATGTTCCATCAGAAAGGAGGAGAAGCCAAATGGCTCCCGGTAAGTTTAATTTTTATTTTTTAGGGGTTTGGGGGGAGGAAGGGAAAACCCTAGCAGTTTTCCAGGCTGAATCAGCCTGGAAAATGCAGAATTACTGTCTGTTTACCCCCTCAAGTTTAGAACGTTTGAGGGAGCAGTCCAGAAAGCAGAAGTAGTGGGTTTACCTGTGCCTTCCAAGAAGGCGTGGAATAAACCCGCTAAGAAATTAATTCACCACACACCAGGGTTTTCCTGGTTTGTGATAAATTAATTCATGTTTTTCTGGGGTATCATCTGGATGGCCCTCTTTTAAATGTGGGAACTCCCACATTAGAGGGGTTGTCTGGATGCGCCCTAAGTCAGAGACAGGAATCATGCAGCCCTTTAATTGTTGTTTGGCTACAATTTCTAGGCCCACCATAACTTATAACCTTGTCACACATGCTGCTGAAGATGTCCCAGATTGCTGCGTCCTGCCAGCAGTTGCACAAAGGACATGGGAGCCTATCAACCCACGCCCTGTTCCATTGCAGATTCCCCCCTTCCTCATCACATGGGGGGAAGCCCTTTTTCAGGACCTCAACCCATCTTTCCTTATAGAAAGGCTGGGAGCCTGCCATTGTGTGTTATTGCCATTTTTTGGCGCAGCAACACTTTAGTCATGGAGCAGTCCAAAAATACAACCAAGCAGCCTAAAATAAGGTACATGTGAAAAGGTTCTTATACTGATTAGGGTCACCAGGAGTAACATCTGGAGGCCAGATATTCCTTCCCCTATCCTAGATAATCTTGACTATTCTAAAGCCTTTGACTGTGTGGATCATAATAAATTGTGGCAAGTTCTTGGTGGTATGGGCATACCAAATCACCTTGTCTCTCTCCTGAGGAACAATAATGTATAATGAAGCAGAAGTAGATGTTTTTCTGAAACTCCCTGCCTTTCTCCATTATCCAGTGGATATTGGCAATCTGGTCTCTGGTTCCTCTGCCTTTTCTAAACCCAGCTTGAACATCTGGCAACTCTCGCTCCATGTATTGCTGGAGTCTTCCTTGCAGGATCTTGAGCATTACCTTACTGGCATGAGAAATAAGGGTCACTATACGGAAGTTTGAGCAGTCTTTCGCATTTCCCTTTTTTGGTATGGGGATATAAGTTGATTTTTTCCAGTCTGATGGCCATTCTTGTGTTTTCCATATTTGCTGGCATATGGCATGCATCACCTTGACAACATCATCTTTTAAGATTTTAAACAGTTCAGCTGGGATCCCGTCGTCTCCTGCTGCCTTGTTGTTAGCAATGCTTCTTAAGGCCCATTCAACCTCACTCCTCAGGATGTCTGGTTCTAATTCATTCACCACACCGTCAAAACTATCCTCGATATTATTATCCTTCCTATACAGATCTTCTGTATAGTCTCGCCACCTTCTCTTGATCTCTTCAGCTTCTGTTAGGTCCCTGCCATCTTTGTTTCTTATCTTACCAATTTTTGCCTGAAATTTACCTCCAATGTTTCTAATTTTCTGGAAGAGGTCTCTTGTCCTTCCTATTCTGTTGTCTTCTTCCACTTCCATGCATTGCTTATTTAAAAATAGTTCCTTATCTCTTCTGGCTAACCTCTGGAATTGCACATTTAACTGGGCATATCTCCCCTTATCCCTGTTTCCTTTTGCTTTCCTCCTTTCTTGGGCTACTTCCAGTGTCTCAGTAGACAACCATTTTGCCTTCTTGGTTTTCTTTTTCTTTGGAAGTTCAATGTACGTACCTCTATTTTAAAAAACAAACTTTGAATCTTTTTATTTTCAAACCTTGATAATAGAAAACACCCAGGCCTTATGAGTAGATGAAAGGAGAAAGAACTTTATTTCATTCACAGTGTTTAGGAACAAAGTTAGAGCTCTGCAGAAAAATCAGGGGACAGTGTTAGGATTTTGCAGGAATAAAGGTGTTTTGAAGGGTTTCGTGTCCAAAGAGGGCTGAGTACCTCTGGCTTATATTATTATATTAAAAAATGTTGGGTGGGAAAGGATTGTATTTATTTAATCACTCGTTTGGTGAAGTGGTTTTTAAGACTAACTTTTTGAATTCCTTGCTATAATAGTAAGAATTCTATTTCTGTATATGAATAAAAATGTGAGCATTGATGGATAATGTTGCTGAATAACACACCTATTGTGACCATGGAAGTCATAGTCCTATGGGCTTTATTCCATGAGATCATAAAAGCATGTTTTGCGTTGCAAACCCGTCCCTTGTGAAAGCTGGAACACGCCAAGATAGTCCCTCCTCTTGCACAAATGTTTGCTGAAAGCACTTTCGACTTACCAAAGTAACTGACCATAACTACTTCTTCCTATGCAATACTCTTCTTTGTCCATGACCTTTTTTCCTGGAAAAATTGCTCATCTCTTGAAATTGACTTGATTTTGCAAAACCTTTGCCATTTCTTTTGAGCGAGTCCACAACTGCACAGATAGACACTTCTGCATTTTCCCAGCTCACAAGCACTCTCTCTAAACAAATAAAATATTTATAAAAATACAGATCCATTTAGCAATGTCCACCCTTTTTCCTGTTTCATGTGTTCTGCAAGAGAGAGGTGCACTTATGATTGGCAAACCTTGTTTTGGGCTGCAGGAGCATACCTAATTTTTGCAAAATAGACATTGGATGTCTTGCAAACAATGTGGAAATTCTTAGTCAACAAGAGAACTCAATATAGGTGCCAGGAATTACCTGTAAATCTGCACAGTTACATGATTAAAATATATATATAAGGAAACAAATGATGTGAAAGTGGGAAGTGGAATGGAGAGCTGCTTGGGGATAGGGAAATGAAGGGGTGGTAAGTGATGCCCACAACACACCAGTAACTCAATTATTCTCCAGACCTTGCAGCAGCAGTACTTTATTTATTGCACCACCTCTACTCTGCTAGAAAATGTTCTCTGCAGCTTAAAAAGGGCAGTCTATTGAAAAGGACAGCTTAACAATCACTTGCAAACTGGTTTAAGGTGAGTTTGGTACAATATTATGTGATCGGGAGCATTACCATCCCTTGTTAGTGAGCTACCTATGCCTCCATGCTCATGTAGTAATGTTTTTAAACAATCTGGAAACATTTGGAAACAGTTTATTTATTTATTTATTTATTTCTGGTACTTTTACCCCGCCCTTCTCAACCCCCGGAGGGGGACTCAGGGCGGCTTACAAAGAAGGCAGAATTCGATGCCTATACATAGTAATACATAGTATACAAAAATATAAAAACAATATACAAAATGTAATTAAACGATCAACACAGTTAAAAACATCAACAACCGGTGCATAACACATTATATAAAATATCATCAAGATCATTCTTATAATCAGCGTTTCGTTTCCAGAGTTCCTCATGTCCAGTCCGTTAGTCATTTCCTAGCCATCAATAAAGTTCTTTCTTTATTTGCCCGCCTGCCCAAATGCCTGGTCCCAGATCCATGTTTTTAGTTTTTTCCTAAAAGAAAGGAGCGATGTTGCAGATCTAATTTCCCCGGGGAGTGAATTCCACAGGTGGGGGGCCACCACCGAAAAGGCCCTGCTTCTCGTCCCCGCCAATCTCACCTGTGATCCGTTCGGACAGATACACTGGGCCGGAACCGTACAGGGTTTTGTAGGTCAAAACCAGCACCTTGAATTTTGCTCGGAACTGCACCGGCAGCCAGTGGAGCTGGCACAACAGGGGGGTGGTGTGCTCCCTGTATGTCGCTCCGGTGAGCAATCTGGCTGCCGCTCGCTGGACTAGTTGAAGTTTCCGAGCAGTCTTCAAAGGGAACCCCACATAGAGTGCGTTGCAGTAATCCAATCGGGATGTGACAAGAGCGTGACCACCATGGCCAGATCCGACTTCCAAGGTACGGGCGCAGCTGGCGCACAAGTTTTAATTGTGCAAAAGCTCTCCCAGCCACCGCCGAGACCTGGGGTTCCAGGCTCAGCGATGAGTCCAGGATCACTCCCAAGCTGCGAACCTGCGTCTTCAGGGGGAGTGTAACCCCATCTAACACAGGCTGTAACCCTATGCCCTGTTCGGTCTTACGACTGACCAGTAGGACCTCTGTCTTGTCTGGATTCAATTTCAATTTGTTAGCTCTCATCCAGTCCGACACAGCGGCCAAGCACCGATTCAAGGTCTGGACAGCCTCCTTGGTGACAGGTGGAAAGGAGTGACAGATTTGGACATCATCTGCATAGAGATAACATCTCATTCCGAAACTCCGAATGATCTCCCCCAGCGGCTTCATGTAGATGTTAAATAACATCGGGGACAAGATTGAACCCTGTGGGACTCCACACAACAACGGTTGTGGGGCCGAACAGGTGTCCCCCAGTAACACCTTCTGGGTCCGTCCCTCAAGGAAGGATCGAAGCCACCACAGAGCAGTGCCTCCGAGCCCCATATCCATGAGGCGGCCCAGAAGGATACCGTGATCGACGGTATCGA